GTCTTAATAGATGCAGGCAGAATTCAATTATGTTTACATTTATCATTCCTGATTTTAAAAATCGTAGCAAACTAGAAATAGAAGAAAATTTCCGCAACATCATACTCAACTATGAAATATTGAATATTTTCCTCCCAAGAGCAACAACAATACAAGGATGTCTGCTCTCACTGCTTCAATTAAACATGCTAGAGAGTCTAGCCAATACAATAGGCAAGAAAAAGAAATAAAGGTTAAAAAATACTGCCTTGATTCATAGCTACATATTTGGAAATATAGAAACGCATACGAAATCTCCAAATAGAATAACATCAAGAAACATACTTAGGGATAAATTGAATGAAAAATGTGCAAAATCATGTTTGTAAGGCAGAAGACTCAATATTGGAAAAGGTGAACAAAATTGTGTGACTTAATCTACCTGATAGCAAGACTTAATGGAAAGCAACAGTTATTAAAACAATATTGGCATAAGAATGAAGAATCCAGAAATAGATCCACACAAATATGGTCAAATTATTTTCTATGAAGGCACCAAAGTAATTCAGTGGAGAAAGGAAAGCCTTGTCAATAAATGGTGCTGGAACAAATGGATTTTTATGTGGGGAAAAAGAGGAGCCTCAATACTTATATTATTCACAAAAATGAATTGGAGATGGGGTACAGACTAAATGGAAAAGCTAAATTAACATTTTTTAGAAGAAAACATCTTTGATAGCAGATAGGTTTCTTAGGACACTAAAAACTTTCTAGAAGAAGAAAGCATGACAGTTTTGATAATTATTAAAGCACCTTGAAGTACATGGCAGTTTATTATACTTTTCTGATTGCTTTGTATATGTTTGAAATTTTTCTATAACAAAAGGTTTTTAAAAAATATATAGCCCAAAAAGAAAGAAAAGAAAAAAAGAAAGAAAAGCAAAAAAAAGAAAAAAAAATTATATAGCCCAGACCCCTTCAAAAATTAAGTATCTCTGTGGAACAGAAACAGATCAGGTGGGTAAGACTTGACCTAGCAGACATCAGGACTTATTTTAAAGGTATAGTAATTAAAATAGTGTAGCATTGGCAGAGAGATTGACCAGTGGAACAAAAGAGAGAGCCAAGAAATGGATGGCATTACAGTTCAGTGGGGGAAGAGTGAATTTATCTAATAAGTGGTACTGGGACAATTGATTATCCAAATGTAAAAGCAACAACAAAGAAAATGAGATCCCTCTTTCATACTACACAAAAATCCTTTAAATTTTAAGATTTAAATATAGATACTAAAACTTGTAAACTTCTAGAAGAAAACCTTTGTGCCTTCTAGGTAAAGAAAGATTTAGGCTACAGGAGTACACAACGTAAAGGTAATGATTAAGGTCTTGATTAAAATCCATTGCCTAAAGTTTTTTCCACAAGCCTACAAGAAAATACATATAAGAAGGTTTAATTTAGCATTGTTTATAATAGTGAAAAATTGGAAATCTCAATGTCTACCATAAAAGAAGATACAAATCAATTGTGGCATATGTAAATAACAGAATACTGTATAACATTGAAAATTGGGGGAGGGGCACATGGGTGAAGGTGGCCAAACAGTACAAACTTCCAGTTATAAAATAAGTTAACTCTTGGGGATGTAATGTACAGCATGGTGACTGTAGTTAATCATACTGTATTGCATATTTGAAAGTTGCTAAGAGAATAGATCTTAAAGTTTTCATCACAATAAAAAAAAAAATTCTGTAACTATGTATGGTAATGAATGTTAACTAGACTTATTGTGGTGATCATTTTGCAATATATACACATATCCAATCATGATGTTGTACACCCGAAACTAAGATAATGTCGTACGTCAATTATGCCTCAATTAAGAAAAAAATCAGTGACCTAGAACTATAGGTATTAGTATCAAAAATGCAATTTGCAGAAGGATACAAATGATATGACGCCATTCACATGGTAGACTAAACACATGGAAAACATTCCTGTGTTGTATGAATATAAATTTCTGTGGTTAAAGTATGCAGTATGCATAGGGATGATAATCACCATATTCAGAATAAAATTTACCTCTATGGAGGGAGGAAGAGAATGGAATCGGAAAAGGTATACAAGAGACTTCAACTGAATTTGTGATAGCTTATATTAAAACCTTTAAAAATGAAAGTAAAATGTTAACATTTTATAAAGCTGATTGCTGAGCACACTGGTGTTTGTACTCTTCTCTGTATATAATTTCTATATATTTGAAATGTTTTCTGATAAAAAATATTTAAGCAAGCTTAGGAAAGAAGATTGAAAAATGAATTCTAGAGACCATTCAAAAACCAATTTCACCTCCACTGAACATAATTGTGGCTTAACTGTATATGAAATCATGTGACTGTTGCTTATCTTTTTTGTTAGGAAAGCATCTTAAACACTTGCTTTTCAAAGCTGTTTTCTTTGGTAATAACAAACGTGGACTTTTATTAGGGTCGGACCTGAAGCTTTTGCCGTGCACCAGCAAGGCTGTCATGCCGTACTGCCTGCATTTAATGTTAGCTTGTTTCAAGGTAAGTTAAAGGTGATTCACGTGAATGTTCATTTATTGCGAAAGAAATTTAATTTGCATTGTCATGATGATCTGGAATGACTTGAATTGAGAGCCTTGAGAACGAATGCTAGTTTAGTCCTTTCAAAGTGCAGGTTGGTGTAGAGAAGAGTTACATTGGCTAAGAATTAACAAATATTTATTAAATATTGACTGCACTAAGCAAAGATGAGTAGGAAGTGATCCCATCCTTGAGAAGTTTACAAATAATAGTGAGACAAATATGCAAATAACTTTGCCTGTAGTAGTGTCCAGTAAATATTTTATAAATTAATGTACAAGTCAGAATATATTAGCTACAGAAGAAGGGAATACAAATGCTGTTGGGTTCATAGAGGGATGGTGAGTTCATTATCATAAAGATATGGTGGGTGAAAGCGTTTTAGGCATCAGGATGAACACCAGCAAAGGCCCAACAGAGCTGGGAAAGGTTAGACTGTAGAAAGAGCCAGGCAGGCCCTTGGCTGCAGGTATTATGGAGCCTTAGAGTAGACAGGTTTATGAGCAAGAGAACAACAGTACCGGGTCTCCACTTCAGAGCAGTAATTCCAAACTTAACTCATCATCAGAATCACTTGGGCAACAGAATCAACTTAAAGGTGATTTTAGGCATAGCTGCTCATTTAGAACGAGAAGTCCTGTGACAGTGTCTCCAGTTCCCATTCCTGTTTCCTTCCTTGTTGCTCACTGCCTTTCTTTGTCCCCAGTCCAAGTTCTCAATCCTGTCTCTCCTAGATGGCTTCTTGCCACCCTCCACCCCCGTCATCTCCTTAAAAGAAATCCCCAAATTCTTCTCTTGGCTACACAGACCACCCAGCTTTCTGTCTCCCTTATTTCCAAATACAAAGCTTCAGGCCCACCATGCACGGCCAGGTCCCATCAAGATGCTCATGTAAACACATTGCCTGTAACCATTTTCACAATGCAGGGATAAGCAAGGCTTCTCTGGTTAGAACCCACCCTCCCTACTCGGCAGTTGTGATGTTTGCAAGGTTTGTGTTCTGCTCTGTTCCCTTCTTACTCATATAACAGCATTTTTTTTTTAAGATTTTATTGGGGAATCGGGGAAGGGGAACAGACAAGTTGCTGTCCTTTTGTTCTTCAGTCTAGTTGTGGAGGACGTCGCTTCACTGGCCCATGTTGGTATTATCATTGCACTCTTCCCCGGTGAGGCAGTAGCTTGCCAGCCATTGGATAGTCATTCACGGCGGCTCATGACAGCTCAAACTGGCTGCCAGCCACTCACAGTAGCTCACAGCAGCCCACTGCAGTCTACGCCGTCGCTGGCGACTCACGGCAGCCCAGCTCCAGGTCGAGCTGTTGTTCACCATCTTAGCTGTAGAGGGCGCTGCGTCACTGGCCCTCATGTGAGATCCGAACCGCAGCCCTGCTGCTCAGAGCTGGTGTCCCAAGCCAACTCTTAACCTACGCGCCACTCGGCCGGCCCAACACTATTATTATTTTTTTTTTTTTTTAAGGAAGTGATACTTGATTCCTTATTTTAGATTACCCCATGATTTCTTTTCCTTTTGTGTCTGCACACGCCCTTGTCTTGCAGCTTAGAGCTTTCACGGACAGCAGGGATGACATGGCGCTGGGGCATGTGATCGTGCTGCTTCAGCAGGAGTGGCCACGGGGAGAGAACCTTTTCTTGAAAGCGGTCAACAAGATTTGCCAACAAGGAAATTTCCAATATGAGAATTTTTTCAATTATGTTACAAGTATCCTTTTTCTTGTTTAAGCATAAGAAATTCTGATGTTTTTATTATAATGAATGAACCATTCTGGGTAGAAATAAAGGTTTTCACTACTTGGGGAAAAAGGAGAAGGAACGGAGGATTAAAAATGGGACTTGTGAAAGTCATAAAAGGCTTCAAGGAGGTAATGCAAGGAATCAGTCAATAACCCTGTTCCATTTCCCACTTCCAGCAACTTCAGGAAAGTACCCAAGATGCCTGAAGTAATCGCCTACAGGTTCCTGACAGGCCCAGAGTGGCTGGTTCGGCCATAGAATATAATAGCTCATCGGTCTTCATCTAACAGAATAGGGCCCCCTGCGGCCTCTCCCGGGGCATTGGCTGTCCCCTGGGGTCAGTTGTGGGAGCACTGCACAGCAGCTGTCACAGCTGCCGCTGGGTACTCACCACAGGTGCCGCCCAACCAAACAGGTGCTTCCAGTGATAGGATATTGTATTTCATACTGTCTGTGAGGGAAAGACCATCTTTGAGTCAAAGGTTATGCATTCGTTTGGTATTTATACTTTATTGCTTATCTTAACAGATTATTTTTGAGTTGCAAGGAATCTAATATCCTTGTCCAAGTGCCCAGAGCAATAGTTCTTAACCTTTTGGGGGGATATAACATCCCTCCACTTCTTTCATCTCTTATTAAGAAAATAGAAGATTTTGCTCTTATGACCACATAGCATGTTTGATTATCATCTATATGAAAAACGTTTATCTTTGTGAGGTAGTTTGGTTAGTTTAAAAATCACTAGTTTTGGAATCAGGCAGACCTGGGTTCCAATACTGACTCTACAATTGTTAGTGGGATTACTCAGTCACTATAAGCCTGTTTCCTCATCCGAGAGACCAGGCACTTCACTCTTACATGTGGTTAACCTGAACCTGGCCTGCAGACATTGATATGCTGGAGGAATTCGCCTACTTAAGAACTCAGGAAGGTGGGAAAATTCATCTGGAATTACTACCCAATCAAGGAATGCTGATCAAGTAAGCAGACTGTCTCTTGCCCTCCCTTGCTAAATGCTCTCCTGTGTGCTTGTAGTAAATACTTGTACATTCCCATACCTTTCAAAAATTTCATAGAAAGGAATACAAACCTGGTCTCTGTTTTTGAGAGTAGGTTTAATTCTGGGTACCTTTCCAAAGACTTCCTGTTTCATTAACTACAATTCTGATAAGATGTTGCTTAACTTGGGGTATTTCTGTTACTTTTGAAACTTTTGCACTAGATAAAAGTCTCATTCATGATACCTTTTGCATTCCAAAATTTACAGCTTGATTCTATAAGCTTCTGATTAGACTTAGAGTGCTATCAACTAAGAAAAGCCATGCTTAATTGTACTGGATTAGGATAATTCATTAGGAAAAACTACAAACTTTATTTATAAATTGTACTTGGAGTTCAGTATTGAATTGAAGCCCACCAGAGCTAGCCTCATTGCTTACATAGCACCAAGAGAAATAACCCGGTCTAGAACTCCCAGGAACACACCTGCCCCAAAAAATGATGGTGGGGTGCTTGGCCTCAGGCATGCCCCCCCACACCTAGAGGAAGTTAGTGACCATGTATGATTTTTAAATAGCTCATAAATCTTGCTTCTCTCCCTCAATCCACATTGTAATTTGGATAATATATCCTCTGTGATTGAAATGCCATGCAGTTTTATTTTCATACTTCCTCCTTTGCACCCTGCATATTCAACGTGTCTTCAGTCAGCGTTAGAGCCACTGCAAGAGACTGAACCCTGAGTGAGAAGAAAGTGTTGCTAAGGCTGAAAACATTTTCCTCTTCCCCTCAATAGTGAAATGAACAAGTTTTCAGTCATTGAAAGCCAAAATCCACATCTTGTTCTGTCTTTGTAGAGTCTTAGAAGTGTTGAGAGAAGACAGTAAGAGATGTTCATTCTGGATATCTATAACCTCGGTAATTTGGTGCATAGAAACATGTCTGATCAATAATAGAGTCTTGTGGAATCCAGTCTAAAGAATGGGTAAATTAAGGGAGGTTCTTGTCCTTCATCTTATAAATGTTATTAATATTCTAAACATAAAAAAATGCTTTTTTTTTTTTTTTTAAACACAAGACCTTTATACATTAGGTTGCTTCAGCAAGATGGACTGGACAGCTCATCTTCCCATCTCCATTTACTTCCCTAAGACTGTGAATACAAACTATGGGAACAATAATTGCAGGTTCAAAATATTCTTAACAGTGTTTGAGAAGAAAATTGCTTTTTGACATGGGAGCCTAGGTAACCCCTTTTGTATTGTGATTTCTTTTCTAGGTTTTGAGGCTGGATATACAAATATACCTTTAATAGCTTTTAGTTAATTTCCATTAAGAGTAACTATATAAATTATCATATAGAACCAACTTCATTTACTTAGGATGAAACCTACGGATGATTCTCACTTTACTTAGGTAACGCTGAACTGGAAGTGGGAGAGAATGGATTGCCAAAAAATGGACAGTTGAATCTCAGGTTATTATACTGAAACCTTTCTTTTTTAGCCAGTTTTTATTGAGCTAAGCAGTGACCAGGTTACATGCAGACAACCCTAGGACAAAGAATGAAATCAAGGGACTATTGGACACCCAGATAATATCACTGTTAAGGGTTGTTTAGGGCAAGGCATTGATACACAGAATGCATTTCTAGGCTTTGAGGGATAACTCCATGCTCCCATGTTGGTCATTATAACCCTTAGTTTCTTCTAACTCCCCTGTAGAAGACCACTAAGCCTCGTAGGAAACCTGCTCTTCCATCAGCTTGGAGGCAGGAATTGGCAGTGAGTTAACATTGTAGGAATTTGTCCAGTCTTCACTGTGTGTCTCAAGGTTCATTTGAAACCTGCATTTCAAATTACTTATGCCTAAACTACAGTGGGAGAAGCAAGCTGCGTACGCCAGAGCACTCTTGCTAATTGAGGTATGATTAGAACCTTGAGTAAAACTATATTCCTTTTCCCGTTGGGATGCAAACAAATTCTCTGAAGCCACTGAAGACCTTTTGGGTGGGCCCTGAAGCCGAGTGGCAGAGATGTTGTGAACAGTGTACAGCCCCTCCCCTTGGGTAAGGTTGTGAGTCTGTCCTAGTTGTGGCATCTCGGATGCAAGCAGGTACAGTACAAACACTGGGGCACCTGGGGCTGCCTGACATTTTGCTCTTATGTATTTTAAAATAGAGAAAAATTTCTATGCTGATATTTGTGGTATCTTAGTTGCATTAGACTGGATGAAAATGGAAAACAGTGTCTTGTGTATGCTCTGAATAGGGTGGACAATAATATTCTGTGAGTTGATCACCCAGCTAATACACTAAATCTTTGTTGTTACAGAATTCTGCAAAGCCATGTGTCCCAGACTCTTTTTTCCCCCCATTTTTCCTTTTTTCAGTACTTTTTGCAATTCAAACTCAACCTTTCTTTATCAGAAAAATTGCCAGCCCCTCTAGTCCTCTCGAAAGGGCCTCTTCACTTTGGGGCTTCAATCCTGTCAAGGATGGTTACAAAAAGTCACCAGGTTTATTTCTGGGATTGGCGTGGGCATGAGAAGAGTGGAGAGTGAAGGATGCTGGATTTGAAAACGTGTCTTCTCAAGTGTTAACCCCTCTCCCCACCGCCATTCAGTTGCATCTCATCGTCCTTCCTCAGTGGTTGCTTTTTATGCCAAATCTCAAGCAGGCTGAGCTCGGGGACCAGGATCCAAGATGCCTCTGGACAGGCCCCAGCAGCGGGTGCAGTGAGAGGGCTCGCTAGCTTCTCCCCATCGTCCTGACAGCTGCAGCCAGGGGCCTGTGGAGGTTAAAGCGTTTCTGTATAGTCTGCTTCCAGTCTTGTGCATTTTCTCTGGCGTGTTGTTTTTGCAGTGCAGGGTGAGTCGGTGTGGGTGTTTGAATGCTGCTGTTTGCTGTTTTTTAAAGGCCTTCTAGCCCTCCCATGGGGTTACTGCAGCAGGAATTCTTACCTGTGCTTCAGCCCAGCATACAGACTGCTGACAGGTACCAAGTGGAAAAACACCTGCTCATAGTGTGCTGTTTTGTCAACATGTTTTACTGCCCATGGTTTTCAGCTCTTTGTTCCTCAGTGCTCTTTTTCATGCTTTATTTTTTTAATTTGTTCTGCATTCCTTGGCAAACCATCTGGTTGTAATATTGTAACATTTCTTATTTTTTCCCATAAGTTGCCAGTGTTTTTGTGTTCAATTTAAAAATCATTATGGATCTAGAAAAAAATGAAAGTTATATAAAACTGTCAGATTTAAGTGCACATTAGATTAGGCACTAAACTATGGTTCTCTTTTTATAAAACATCAGGCATTCAATTATAAACATTTAAGGATGCCGAAGCTTATTTTAAGTAAATTTGTATTCTTGGATTTTCATGTTAGTGACCAGTGTTGAGGTTTTGGTCTCAGCAGGCGTTAGCACAGTATTTGCCTGCCATCAATAATGTTTTTTAGACCTTACTTTTATGAATTGAAAATATTTGGTAGGCTAGAATGTCATGTTTATTAGCTGATTTATCCTGTTCTTAAACCACAAAAACTAAGTAATTCTCTTCTTCATCCAAATTTGCCAGAGGGATAGAGGTTCTGATAGAAATGTAATTGAGTTGTGCTGCTGTCGATGTGGCAACAGTACTACTGAACCATGACCAGCAGGACACATTTTCTTATTTTTTTACTAGTATTATGGGGAGAGTTTGCTTTGAACCATCAATACCCTTGAGCTTTCTGTCTGCATATACCAGTAACTTTTGGTTGGTTAATGAGGCAGCTCCAACATGGGGTTGCAATCTGGGACCCAGAAGATCAGAATCTCAGGACAGCATAAAAAAGGTCTGCATCTATTCCCAGTGGGACTTGGCCTTGGCCTCACGGACATGGTGTCCTTGTTACCAAGTTCACCAGCCAGACATGACTAGAAATGTCCACAGAGAACTATGTGTTTCCTCCATGGCATGGCCATTTCACTGCGTGTTCTTTAAAATGTCCGTGAGCAGTGTGGAGTGGCCAGTAGTGTCCTTACTAGTCTGACAAAGCCAGGGTTTTTCTTTGGTTGCACTGCAGCCTTATGGCTTCTGTGGTACTTCTACGGTAAATTGTAAAAGTTTATAAAATTTTAAAAACAAACATTTTAGAGTGGTTTCAACAGTTTTATTTTGGCCAGTACATAAAAATCCGATTTCAAATCTCTGTCACTGTGTCTGACGAAAATGAAGCAGCAAGGGTGGGGAATGGAGATGGCTTCTATTTGTCTAAATTCACCACATTGCTGAACTAGTAGTTAAAAAAACTTTCCTTTTAACCAAAGCTGTTGAATTTTGCTAGATTTTTCTTTTCTTCATTTTGGTGGGACTTCCTTTGTGATTTCCTTCTCTAAAGCACAACTCTTTGGGGTGAAATTAGAGACCTTGCTTGTGTCCCCACCTCCCCTCCCACCAACGTGCACGGGGACCAGACCTGGTATTCACTTGGCTTTCACAGGCCTTTGGCTGTTCTTCATCGATTCTATTTCTCTCTCCCCAGCTGTGCCAGACTCTTTTTCTCGGGACCCCCAATTCCTGCTTCTTCTCAAGCAGACATGAGTCAGGCTGGGCTCAACACTTAGAGGAACTGTCCTGCTCTGGCAGCACGGGGACAGAGACATGCTTGCACCCTGGTGGCTATGCACAATCCCTGAACCTTTCATGGAGCACCAGCCCGAGGGGCCAGGGACCCAAGCTCAGTTTGGTGCCTGGTGCATTGCGGTTTTCCTCCTCCCTGCTGCTGCCTCTGCAGTCAGCTGGCCTGACTGGACACAAGCTGTGTGGCTACTGTGAAGGGGACCCAGTCAGCCCAGAGTAACGGAATTGTGCACAAGTCAGCATAGGGATGCAGACTGTCAAAGCTGCAGGAGTTCAAAAGCAAAAGCAGGTGACATTTTACCAAACATTTAGATGTTTAAAACATCCTTTTATTGAGTGGGAAAGATGTCTCTCTAGTTTTAAGTCTTTCTGAGAAGGAATGGGCAAAGGGGGTTGATGGTTAGGGTTGTTCTTTTTTAAAGTTTTACTTAGATTTGAGGCAGGCCTTACTCCTACCCCAGAGACCCCGACCAGTGATGCCAGTGCTAACCGTGGTGTCCATCTGTTTCCCTGTCATTGCCCTCAGGCACCACACGGTCACTCGGGGCATCACCAAGGGCGTGAAGGAGGACTTCCGCCTGGCCATGGAGCGCCAGGTGTCTCGCTGCGCCGAGAACTTGATGGTGGTGCTACACAGGTTCTGCATCAACGAGAAGATCTTGCTGCTTCAGACTCTGGCCTGACTGGAGACATTTCTACCAGAGACAAGCCGTACCCTTGTAATTTTGGGGGAAGACATAAGGCATTGACAAATGTTGCTTTATAACTCTTAAAGAGAACTGTCTGAGTTCTAACTCCTTGGTTGCTTAAAAGTAGTTCCCAAGAGTCTGAGAAGCTATTTCTATTTTTAAGTCATTGTTTTGTAATTTTTGTAAAACAAAAGAATCAACCTGTTTTGTAAATAAAAATCACCCTAAATTTGGGGGTTTTAAATTTTTATTTCAACTCATGAGTTTCTGAACAAGGGTGCACTTTACTTTTCATGATCTCAAGATTTGACTTTCCGTAGTTAGGCTTTGGCTAAATATTACATATCAACATTATATTTTCATTTGGGAAGTTTTAATATCAAAAACCTTCGTGCCAGAATGAACTTGAGTGAACTTTTCTGCTGAAGGAGCCACAAAGGTGGAGGTGGGGGTCTGCCAAACAGCCCAGGAAAGGGAATGATGGAAGGGGCGGCGCTTCCCTTCTCAGGCCGCAAGACGGCCCTGCTGCTGTCTGCCCAGGTGCTCTGGGGCCAGACTGCCTGGCTTCCAACCCTGGCTCTGTGCAGCCCTTCACTCACCATGTATTAGGGACAAGTTAATTTCCCCGTGCCTCAAGCTTGTTGTCAGAAAAAACAAAGGTAATGGCGCTTATCTCACAGGTTGTTGTAAAGGCTAAATGTGACGTCACTTGAAATCCTTAGAAGAGTGCCTTGGCCATCATAATTGCTCAACCAGTGTTAGCTGTCAGGTTTATTTTTTTCTTTTGCTGTTCCCAGAAATATATCAGGTAAATGGCAAACAAACATTTGTTTCTAGGGGCTATTTAAGAATGAATGAGGCCGGCCGAGTGGCGCGTTGGTTAACAGCTGGCTTGAGGTGGGCATGAGCTGTGGCTGAAGTACAACTACAGCAGATCCCCTCCAAGGTGGTCCTGGGATGGCGCCCCCAGTGGCCAGCTTCAAACCAAGCTGGAGCATCAGCCAGCTGCCTCCAAGAATGACACACCCATGGAGCACACTGGGCCGGCACCAGAGACCTGCTGAGGCAGATCCAGCTCTGTAGAGTCAGCCCCTGCACAACAACTCTTCCACTGCAGTCAAGGCCCGTCCTCACAACCAGTGAGCCCAAGGGTCAGTCCCTCCCATTGATGTGCAATTATCAACCAAGGCTCAACTATAAGAGGAGGGCACACTCAACCCACACAAGGGACACCTGGAGCACATGGCTCAGGTGACCAGAAAGACTGCACCACTAAACCCCACAGCACACCTACTATATAAGGCACTACTAAGACCAGAAGACATAGCAGCCCTACCTAATACATAGAAACAAACACAGGGAGACAACCAAAATGGTGAGGCAAAGAAACATATCCCAACTAAATGAACAGAACAAAGCTCCAGAAATTAAATTAAGCGAAACGGCGATAAGTAATCTATCAGACACAGAGTTCCAAACACTGGTTATAAGAATGCTCAGTGATCTCAGGGAGAACATCAACAAAGAGATAGAAGGCATAAAAATGGAGATGGAAACCATAAAAAAAGAAGCAGTCAGAAATAAGGGATACAATCATGGAAACGAAAAATATATTACAGGGAATCAACAGTAGATTAGATGAAGCAGAGGACCTAACCAGCGATGTAGAAGATAAGGTAGCAGAAAACACCCAACCAGAACAGCAAAAAGAAAAAAGAATCCAAAAAATTGAGGAGCATGCCAATATTCACATTATAGGGGTACCAGAAGGAGAAGAGAGAGAGAGAGCAAGGAATTGAAAACCTATTTGAAGAAATAATGACAAAAAACTTCTCTTAGTGAACAAAATAGACATATAAGTCCAGGAAGTGCAGAGAATCGCTCTCAAACAACATAAACCCAAAGAGTGCAACACCAAGACACATCATAATTAAAATGCCAAAGGTTAAATACAAAGAGAGAAATCTTAAAAGCAGCAAGAGAAAAACAGTTATCTACAAGGGAGCCCCCATAAGATTGTCAGCTGATTTCTCAACAGAAACTTTGCAGGCAAGAAGGGAGTGGCAGGAAATATTCCAAGTGATGAAAAGTGATGACATACAACCAAGATTGCTCTACCCAGCAAGGCTATCATTTAGAATTGAAGGACAGATAAGGAGCCTCCCAGACAAGAAAAAGCTGAAGGAGTTCATCACCATCAAACCAGTGTTACAAGGAATCTTAGAGGGATTTCTTTAAGATGGGAGGGGGGTTAAGGATGGGTGAAAGGGGAAGGGATTAAGAAGTACAAATTGGTTGTTTGCAGTAGTCATGGGGATGTAGGGTATAGTATAAGGAATATAGTCAATAATATTGTAATAAAAAGGTATGGTGTCAGGTGGGTACTAGATCTATCAGGGTGATAGATGGGAACAGGGTTGGGGTCATGGTGAAAAAGGTGAAGGTGTTAAGAAATACAAATTGGGCCAGCCGAGTAGCGCGTTGGTTAAGCTGGCTTGGGACGCCAGAGGGCCCCGGTTTGGATCCCACATATGAGGGCCAGTGACACTGCCCTCTACAGCTAAGATGCTGAACAACAGCTCAACCTGGAGCTGGGCTGCTGTGAGTAGGCGACGGCGTAGGCTGCAGCCCCTGTGGCAGTGGGTTGCCATGGGCTACCGTGTGTAGCCAGCAGCCAGCGTGAGCGGCCAGCAGCCTACGTGAGCGGCCGTCCAGAGCCGGCGACTGATCTGCCTCACCCGGGAAGAGCGCAATGATGGTGCCAACTTGGGCCAGTGAAGCAATATCCTCCACAACTAGACTGAAGAACAAAAGGACAGCAACTTGTCTGTTCCCATTCCCCAATTTCCCAATTTAAAAAAACCCCAACAAATTGATAGTTAATACAGTATGGGGAATATAATCAACAATCTTGTAAAGATCATGTAAGGTGCCAGATGGACACTGGACTTATCAGAGGGATCACATCATAGACTGTGTAGATGCCTGACCAATGCGCTATATACCTGAAGAGCTGAGGTAGAATAACACTGAATGTCAACTATAACTAAATATACAGGTATATATAGTCACAGGATATGGATTACAACACAGGCAAGATAGTCAATGGTACTGTAACAGCTATATAAGATGTCAGAGGGGTAGTAGCTTTGGGGGTGGGTTATCACTTTGTGAGGGGTTTAAATGGCTATTACATTGCTTTGCACACCTGAAACTAATAAAATTAATTAAAAAAATAAAGTGGTTTAACTCAGAGACATCTGATCTCAGGAAATATTTTCTCTAGCTCATTTTACAGTGTATCAATGTAATAGGAGTTGATTACAAATATATAAACCATCCTGTTGTTTTTATCATGGAGTGTGCTGTCCTCCGACAGCTTTCAAATTAAACACTCTTATCTTTTTGTTTTATAACACCTTCCTCAGATTGGTATTTGGGAGAAGCATATATCAAAACAAGACTTTCTAATACACAAATGGTTAGGTACCAGATAAAAAAAGAATCATTTTTTTTCTTAATTTAGTGGTGGCACTTCTGTGTACCAAATTGCACGGGAAGTGGGAGGGTGTGACTACAATTAAGATACAAGAACAAACTATGGAGAAAGTCCCAGTCGTCAGGGCAGAATTCCACCAGCACCCAAAATGGTAACGGACGCTGCGGGAAGCCATGTGCTGGCACTGCAGGGAGCAAGGCTACCTGTCCTTATGGCTAGCATTTTGGATGGAATTCTGCAAAGGAAAGTCAGCATGATAATGGCATCTTTTGTCTATCGTAGTGTTTTGACATACACAATTAGATAAGGCGTTTATGAAGACTGAGGCAATTTATGAAATAATGCATATATCTAACATTTCTACCAACTTTGAATTTGGAAATGCATGTATCCTGAAGAAAAACAATACTTTGGAACTAATCCTTAACAAATACTGATTACCAAGAGGAAAATGTGGGCTTGCTACTCTCTGGGAAAGTTAGATGATACAGGAGAGAGATCCAAGATGTCGGAGTAGATAAACACTGTGCCTGCATCCTTCCATGAACACATTAAAATCATAACTAAATTATAGAACAATCAACCTGGAGACCCATCTGAAGTCTAGCTGAACAGAAGTCCTATAACTAAAAATATAAAGAAGCCATGTCAAAACTGGTAGGAGGAGCAGAGACACCGAATGGGCCCCAAACCTCCCTATGGCGGTTGATAATCAGGAGGGTTACCTCAGCTGTGGAGGTTCCTCCTGGGAGGAGTGAGGGACCCCTGCCCCCCGTACCAGGCTCCCCAGCCCAGACTACTGGTGCCAGGAAGAGAAACCCCTACATCATCTGGCTGTGAAAAACAGTGGGGATTCCTACCGTTAGGGTGGGACCGAAGGCTGCAGGAAACCCAGCCGTCCTCTCAAACAGCCAGTGTATAGACTCCCCCTCTCGCAGGCACTCACCTTGGGCTCCAGCAGTGGGACAGTGAATTGGGCAGCCTTAGAGACATACGGGGGACAGACTGAAGAGTGTGACTTAAGGGGGAGGACTGGAGGACAGCTGACATTTTCTCGACGAGGGGTTCTCTTTCTGTGCAGCCCACGGGCAGGCGCCATCTTTCCTATATTGAACCTGCCCCCACAGGCCAAATCTGAATCTGATTGGCCTGGTGAGCTCCACCGTTCTGCTCTGCTGACTCAGCTGGGACCCTGGCCCACCCAATTCACACACAGCCAGAAGCACTTTCTCTGACAGCAACTAGCCTCTCCTGCATTGCACTCTCTCTAGGAAAACTATTGGAGTCCACAGGCCCAAGGCAGGTGGCAACTGGCCTTAGCGTGCTCTGGGACTTTTGCTGAGTCACTCTAGGCTCAGCACTGGCACCAAACCAGAGTCTACATTAATCTGGTGACCATAACTCTTCCCACTCTAGTGACTCTCCTGAGATCCTGCCTCACTTAACTCATGTACCACACCAGGTTTTATCAGTGGCTGAACTTTAAGGCAGCTGGCAGGTGGAAGCAGGCTTCCAGGTGTTCTGGTTCTTTGCAGAGTTACCCCCAACCTGGTACTGGTGGCAGGCATCCTCAGTTCACAGCATGGCCGCTCCCACGGGCCTCCAGGTGCAGGACAAGCAGCAGCCAACTATGGATTGCTTTGTAGTTTCTACCAGGTGCTCCCTGCTTGGTCACAGGCAGTGGCTGACCTGGGCCTGCATCAGAACCCCTCCTGAGAGACCCCAGAAACAATATACTTGAAGGTTGGCTTCACAGCACAGCAGAGCACCACCCAATTAGCCCCACAAGTAGAATACACAAAGGGCAGGGCCGGCCGCATTGGTTAAGAGCTGGCTTGGGATGCCAGAGGGCTCCAGTTCGGATCCCACATATGAGGGCCAGTGACACTGCCCTCCACAGCTAAGATGCTGAACAACAGCTCAACCTGGAGCTGGGCGGCTGTGAGTAGGCGACGGCGTAGGCTGCAGCCCCTGTGGCAGTGGGTTGCCATGGGCTACCGTGTGTAGCCAGCAGCCAGCGTGAGCGGCCAGCAGCCTACGTGAGCGGCCGTCCAGAAGCCGGCGACTGATGTGCCTCGCCCGGGAAGAGCACAATGATGGTGCCAACTTGGGCCAGTGAAGCAATGTCCTCCACAACTAGACTGAAGAACAAAACGACAACAACTTGTCTGTTCCCCTTCCCACAATTTCCCAGCACTGTTCCCATCCCCCCAATTCCCCAATTAAAAAAAATATATATATTAATTTATATTTTATGTACAAGGCCTGACAATTAAGTTTGAGAACTTGTTGCAATGATATTAACCTTTTTTGATACCAGAGGGATTATTCATTATGAATTTTTACCAACTGGACAGTTAACCAAGTTTACTGTTTGGAAATGCTCAAAAGGCTGCATGAAAAAGCTAGATGACCTGAACTTTTCACCAACAATTCATGGCTCTTGCATCACAACAATGCACCAGCTCACATGGCACTGTCTGTGAGGGAGTTTTTAGCCAGTAAACAAATAACTGTATTGAAACACCCTCCCTACTCACCTGATCTGGCCCCCAGTGACTTCTTTCTTTACCCAAAGATAAAGGAAATATTGAAAGGAAGACATTTTGATGACATTCAGAACATCAAGGGCAATACTACGTACGACAGCTCTGATGGCCATTCCAGGAAAAGTTCCAAAATTACTTTGAAAGGTGGATTAGGCGCTGGAGTTGGTGCATAGCTTCCCAAGAGGAGTACTTTGAAGGTGACCATAGTGATATTCAGCAATGAGCTATGTAGCACTTTTTGTAAGATGAGTTCGCAAACTTGTCAGATCTCGTAATGTAGAAATTTATATTTATGAAATTTAAAAACCTAAAGTAAAAAGTTAATTATACAAACACACAATTAAAGACAAACACTGGCAATGTGCTTTCCCATCTAATTTTACACTCTCAAAGGAGGTCTTCACCACCTTCCACTTAATCATGGGCTTGGTCAATCCAGGTTCCCTCGTCAGTTCTGGGTTTGCAAGTCAAGTGAGGCACTTGTAGAAGACACAAGGGGAAGGATGCTGAGGCTTTTGGGGAGGGTTTTCTGGCTAATGTAATTATGAGACACACAGAGGGAATGCCCTCCCCTTCCAGGGAGTGTCTCGTTTGCTGAGTGTGTTTGGCTGTCATGGCGGCAGTCATCTCACAGCCATGAAATGAAGTGAGCTGGCTGAGGGCAAATGGATAGGAGCCAGCCTCCCTCAGGACTTTTTATGTGAAATGAATTTTCCTTATAACCCAGCTGAATGAGGATTTTCTGTTCCTTATGGTTCAAGACATGCTGACTGATATACTCCCCAATTTGAGAAAGGCTTCTGGATAACCCATCTGGAGAGGCCCAACTGGCTTTAACTGCTAAGATTTGGGATGACACAGCTGTGACCATCCATAATGACTCACTGCAAGAGAAGGGTAGCAGCAGGTTTCCTCAAAGATGATTGTCCCCATACACACTAGCTCCATGAACATTTTCTTGGGGCATATTAGACACTAATTTTATTAGCACTTAAATATTAAAAACACAACAACCACTGCTTTGCTTTAATAAATGTTTATTTAGTGCTGGTTATGTAGGAGGGACTGTGTTTGTGCCATGAAAAATATGCAATGAAAAGGGCATAATCCTTGCCCTTAACAAGCTCACAGTTCAGCATGGGAAACTAGACATGTACACAAATAGCTATCATACAAGTCATAAAGTGATGAGTGCCATGAGATTGATCCCAGTAAGATACTATGAGAGCCCAGAGGAAGAAAAGACTATTTTTCGACGAGAATAAAAGAGAGGTGCCTTAGAAATATGGGGTCTAAAGTGACAGGTCAAATGTCACTTTTTTGGGAAAAAATGGAGAGAATTAGAGGAAAAAGCAATCCAGGAAGACTATAATCAAAGTCAGAACCAGGCGGTCCTGGCTAAGTGATGGAGGTGGGAGGTGGGCTGGAAAAAGTGGGATGGGCATAGAGGGTGGGGAGGGAAAGCTGGGAACGTGTGTTGGGCTCAATGCGGATGGTTATGTATGCCGGGCAAAGCTGTTTCAACTTCAGTGTAAGTTTTTACAAAGAGGTGATTAGCTCAGAACTCGGCTTCATAAAGCTTAACCTAGTTGCTTTACGGAAGGAGGGACTGAGGGAAGGCCAGTTTAAAAAGAATTCTAAGGATCTGGACTAGAGTAAAAAGGTGGTGACAATAAGAATGAAGATACAGGGGAAGATGGAGACAGAATTGAGATTTGGTAACGACTAAATATGGAAAAAGCGGAGAAAAGGAGGTAGGTGGGTGAGAGACGGCAGTTTTATATGGCGTTGCGAATGATCCACTCACAAAGCTAGGAAAATCCAAAGAGGAAAAGGTTTGAATTCCGAAGAAGAAAGCAGGGAAGACGTGAGCCTGGATGCTGGCAGATGTCCAGGTGGAGGGGTTCTGCAGGCAGTTAAAGTTGGAATGAGAGTTCAGGGTAGAGGTCTGCACTGGAAACAGACTAGGAAGTCACCCACGCAGTGGCGACAGTCGAAGCGATGTTGAGATGGCCCCATCTCACCACAGAAGGATGCTCTAAAGTACAAACTATTGTCACATTTTCCTTAAATATGGAATTCTCACAGAAAATTCATAAGTATGATGATGCATCATATGAAAAGTGCTGTTTCTCTTTGTGTGTTCTCCCATCCTCACTCCTGAGAAACTACTACTTCAGTTTAGTGATTCCAGGCAGGAAAGGTGCCTCCATTGTGGAGGGTCATTCTAAAAAGACTTACTCCAATGAGAGTTTTTAAAACTTTTCCTTATCATTTATTTTCAAGAGTTTTCCATAATGAAGTTAGTTTTCTAAGGGTTTCAGAAAAGCTACTGATGTATCCCACCTCACTGTGTCTGACTAAGGGTTGGAAGGGACCTGAGAGGTCATCACTATCTCCCTCGTTTCACAGATGACAAACCTGAGGCCCACACAGGCCAAGGGACTTGCCCAATATTTTACACGCAAGGATGGCAAAGCTGGAGCCAAAGCAAGACAGTTGGCTTTTCTCTCTTCCACAGCTATGTCCCTGGGTACCAGCTACCATCTAGGTACACAGAGAGAAAGACAGGTGAGAAAGTGGGTGGTCAGAATGGATAGAGAGATGATGATAGATAGATAGATAGATAGATAGATAGGTAGATAGATAGATAGATAGATAGATGACTGATAGGTAAATAGTTAAGTACATAAGCAATAACTAAACAAGAGTGGCTGAAAATAACACATCCATAATTCAACTTTTTTTTTCAAGTGGGGAAAAGGAGAAAATGGCTTGATTGAAAGGCAATTTTTTTTGGACCCACTAATGCCTTGCAGACCTGAAAAGGAAATTACCCTGACTTTCTTGAAATATTAAACTTCGCTTAACCAAAGAATATTAGACTATATTACTACACGTCACATTCAATAAGCTTTATAGTCAGCCACAACAGATGATGGTATTCTTGGTTGGCATGTATACACATGGAGAGGCAGTTTGCAGGAAAACAAGATCAGTAAGAATCAGACCATAGTTGTTGTTTTTTCCCCGTCACAGAAGCAAAACGCCCATGGTAATTTCCTTTTGAAAAGTTAACTGAGAAATCCTTAGAATAAAGTTCCAAATCCATCCATTTACATAGAAGATGGAGGAAAAAAGATAATTTACATTTCAAATTTGTAAGTCCCAACTACACAGGTGGAGTTCTGATGAGCCAGGTCACAGTCCGCTTGCCTGAGTACACCAGCACCTTCCCCAGCAATCTGGAAACACACATCTTAAAGGTTTTATAATTAGTGAGTCCCTTTAATAAAGGCCCCCAGGCCCACTAGAGTGTGCCAGCAGCACGCTTCAGCTGCAGCTGTCAGATCTTCCAAAACACCTTCTTTTTATAGAGAATGTAGGCAATGAACACCCAGAGAGCAGTGGCGACGATGTTCTGAATCAGATGCTCTTTGTGCGACTGGTTGTCCTGCAGCTTCCACTGGAAGGGGAAGTAATTCTGGAAGACCTCGTGGCCGACGTACACCAGGATGGAATTCATGCCTGAAGGAGAGACGCAGATGATGATAACGTTCTCCTGTGTCACATCGGATCATCTATTTACCTCTTGAAATTTGACTTTTGTTCAGTGAAGAAGACAAAAATTATGCACTGCTACTGCCAAATATAAGTGATGCATATCTTAGACACTTGTCAACTGTATCAAAAAATTATTAGAAAAGATTCATTTTTATAACAATGTAATTCTTGAATGCTAACTCTGAAAGCCAAAATTATTAACTTACATTTTCTCACAGAAAACTGGAGGTCCAAAAAGTAGCTATTACTAGAATCAGAGGGCTGAAATGAGTCACTGAAATTATCTGGTCTAGCTCTCAGTCTCCAGGTAGAACCTCATTTAAACCATTCCATCTGTCTCTCTCTCTTTTGTTTTTTTAGCTGAGCCATCCTGCTACCTGTTGGCAGCTCAGTGGCTGCTCAGCTCGGACTGGACTCGAACCGCTGTTGCTCAGAGCTCACATTCTTGAGCGAGCTCTTAACCAACTGAGCCACTCGGCCGGCCCTTCTCCATCTGTCTCTTGATAACGTCTCTTGATATTTCTTACGCATCCTCTGAAAGCTGTGAATTTATATTGAGAGCGAAAGTCTGGCCCCATTTTTGAAGCATTCGAGGCTGGAGGGTATGTCCCAGGTTGTTTCTGATACTCTACACTTTGGTGTTGCCTGAAGAAACAAGTGGAGCTCATTATGACCCCCCAGTCTTAGTGGGTAAGATGGCGTACTGCTTGGGAACAGGCCAGTGACGTCCTGTGTAGCTGGGACTGCATGGCCCCTGCCGCATTCTCCCTCAGCCTGTGTTGTGGCAACATGCCACCAGGGCCGTGGTTCAAGGACCCAGCACTGGATATGCTCGGCTGGTCTCTCGGTCACCATCATCACCTTCCTTTGGGTTAGAGGCGACTTACCTGGGTACAAGAATGGGGCTCCTGTCCACAGTCCCTTCACGTCCACAAGGGGGTACAGGAGAAGCAGGATGAAGAAGGCAAAGGAGCTGAGCGTAGTGATGTACGAAACGGACCTAAGAGGTGAACGAGGTGCCTCAGTGCTCCTGGGAACGCAGACGGCATGAGCGCAACTAGTCACCATTAAAACGACACCGTGTTCTATACCTACCAGAGATTTTTGTTTACTGGAATAAATCCTTCATTTTCAGAAATTTTCGTGAAAGCAACAGAGATAAGCCCCTATAACAGGGGAGAAAGACGTTAATTTTTTTCATATCCTCTCAAACAACAATGTTCCCAAAGTGGAAAATATTAGTTATGTAATTATTTAGGGATGGCTGAAAATAGCATCTGGTATTTTATTCTTTGAACTAGAAAAATATTTTTAACATGTGTGAACTAAAAAGATTCTCCAAAAAAAGATTGTTTCAGCATTTCTCTGATGTGAAGGTAAAGTAAGTGATCAATTAGAGTGACTCTTGGGAGGTAACATGACAGCAAGGTCGGGGGTAAAAGGAACAGTCAATCTTACAACTCTTTTGTCACCTGTAAATTTGGAAGCCGGTGTTTGGAAACCTGTTATTTACCTGGTCTTTCTAGTATGTTTCCATTTCAGAACCCACACCTCAGCTGCATTTCTTGAAGCATTCCTGGCTGGCTATTTGTTGGCAAACGCTGACTTATAAGGACATTTTCCTAAGAAAATAAACCTGAGAATTTAGGTGTAAAGACTGGTTCCTCTCTGTTACTCAAGTGAAGAATGCTACCTGTTGTGATGTAGTGACAGCTGATATACCCGTGTTGCTAAACATTTTTTTCTTTTAAATATGTATGTGTAAAGAAAAGGAATTTTAGTGAGGAACGTTGGTTACTTACTAGAAAACAACACCATGCAGTGAATCTAATCAGGATGTCTTTGGTCTGATCCTTGTAATACAAGAGTATTTTTCCTGCCTGGAAAAGAAAACGCAGTATGACAAGAGAATCACTTAAGGTATGTATCCATCCGTTATCTTAATCACTCACAGACTCATCTGCCAGGCCCACTCTAGTAGGACACTGGGATTACAAAGATGGATGGCACGTCACCACTGCCCTTGACTAGTGAGAGGCACCTGAGACCACTTGGTGGGGAGGTAGACATTAGAGCAGAAGGGCAGTCAGGTTGAGGCGATGAGCACAAAGCCGGAAGAATGTTCAGGCAGACTGGAATAGCATGCCCAGAAGCGTGTCAAAACGGGTGAAAACGCCCAGCATCCCTGAGGTGCTATAGGTAACTCAGAAAGGCTGGAGGGTGGGGCGGGCAGGAAGGTGGCAGGCAGGTAGGCTCGTAGGTCTCACTGCGAGGTGCAGGCTTTCTCCCATAGGTGATGGAGAGCCAACGAAAGTCACTCCCTCCCCCCACACACAAAAGTACCAAGGGACCAGTGCAGACTGGCCTGCTAGACAGCCAGGCTGGAAGCAGTACAGAAGGTGGACAGGGACAGGGTGGAACTGGAGGCAAGAAAACGTTTTTAAAACAGTAAAATCTGAACTTTGCATAAAATTCCCCCCAAATTAGGAATTAATTTCTGAAAACATCAAAGTATAAGAAAATATTAATTATTTAAAATAACAGCTATGTCTTATGAATGTCTTCTATGTGCCAGTTCTTAGAACTTTACATGAATTACTTCATCCTCTCCTCACCTTTATGAGCTAGGTGCTACAGAAGCACGGAGGGGTCAAGTAACATGCCCAAGGTTACCCAGCTAGAAGGGGCCGAGCTGGGTGTGAGCCCAGGCAGTGTGCACCAGGTCTGCACTCTTAACCCCCAGGCCAGGGTCTCCCACAGGCGCACATCGCCCTAGAGAGTGTGTGTAGGGATTAAATCGATATGTGCAAACCAGGAAATGCTACAAAGACCAAGGCGGTGTTTCTTAATATGAAATTAATCACCAAGGTGTATACCTTTAGACCTGTACTATCCAACACAAGAGCCACTGGCCACATGTGACTACTTAAAGTTTAATTTAAAATGAAATAAAATTAAAAATCCCATTCCTCAGTCATGCTAGCCACATTTCAAGTACTCAGTAACCAGACAGACAGCACGGAGAGACTTTTCATCATCACAGAGGGTTCCATTAGCACTGCTTCACATGTTCTTATCTTCTCCCAGTTAGCTCCCCTCCAACAATGGTTTCAGTCACCAATATAACTTTAAGAAGAAAATCTAGACTGTTCAGAATTTAAACACAACTGCGTGTGAGATAAACCAAGAATCACCTGTATTGACTTTGGCATAAAATATGCATAACCTCAAACCATGTAAAGTGTACACAGAAGAAACGCGACAAGTGACATGGTGGCTTCCCAACCTCACCAGCACCCAAACACTCTGCACAGTCTAGCAGAGAAATCTTTTATCCAGAAACAGCTATGCCTCCATTTCTAAGGTAAGCCATATGAATAATAAGAATTATTTTTGAGAATATAGAAATTATACCTAATTATTTGAATGAGCTGTATTTTAGCAACTTCTAGTTATGACAATCTGTCAAATATAAACAGAATTTATTAGACCTGTAATACACAGATGATATGTTTCCAATTTGCTATTTTAACGAAAGCGTTTTTTGAATTAGTGATGAAGCAATAATCACAAACTGTCAGAAAACTGTATCTGGATGAAATGAACAAATACCTGAACTCCTAAAAATGCCATCACAATGGAGTTGATGGTCCCTAGGATTCCTTCTGGATCGTAGGCCACCGTGGTGTGATAAAGCACCTTAACAAAACAGAAACAATAAAGCGCCTTAACAAAACTCAGTGACCACAGAAATGCACACAAGCAACTCACAGACTAAATACAAACTTGAATACACTCCAATATTCGGTACATTTGCTTAAGCTACAGAAACCCATTGCCAGCCTGTGGGGATTATAGGCAGGATATCTCTGGCTAAGAAAGTGTGTGGTGTGTGACACTTCAGAAGGGAACACAGAGCCCAACAATGAGCCATGGTCCAGTGCAGCCACTTCAACTTCAGGTGGCTCAGGGGACATGCCTGCTGACACAAGGCATCCTGAACCAGTTTCAAACACTGTATATAATACCATCATAATTTTCAAGCGTATTCTTTTTGGTCAACCCTATTGTAACACCAACAGCTTCTTATCTTCTTTTAAGGCAAATAACATTTAAACATACATCTGTATTATTTCATTATAAAATGAATGTTACTGCAGAAAACAGTAGACATTTAGAAATAAACACTGTAGGGGAGGCTGCAGTGTACCACCCGGGTATTCCCCCCCACCCCACCCCTGTCAGGACTAAAGTCTTGTTCCCCAGCTGTGAGAAGTATTAATGGCGAGTAGCTCTCGGCCAAGTCCATCTTCTGGATTTGTCCTTGATTTAAGAGAGCTGCCTCTCCAAGAGTCACACCCCCTTGCTGGGGGCATTCGACATCCAACCAGGAACATCAAGGGCCCGATCCCTCCCCTCAATTCAGAATGGCTCTGAGGGGCCACCCCAACCCGCTATGAGATTAGCTGAGGCCTTCATGTGACTGCAATGCAGTTCAACTGCTCCCTCTGCCCTTCCTTCCCCAAAGGACTGCCTGATAAACGTCTGCATATGAATCCGTCTCAGTCTGCTGTCAGGAAGTCTGACCTGAGACACACAGAAAGCACTACGCTACACATTTGATACAATGCATTCTCACTTACCAGCCCATTTCTCAAACAAAAATCAGTTCCCAGCACAGTTTATTAAAATGGACATTTTCAAGTTGGCCAACCCTTTCTGTTTTCCTTCACTTAATGTTCCTAAATGTCCATTTCTAAGTGCAAGCCAGTGTCACTCACAGTCGAGGAGGGGTGCTGGTAAAGGTGATCATCTCCCAGCAGCAAGCGGTCAATGTAGCCAGCAGCTCCTCCAGTGCAATTCGGATACTTCCCCAGATCTCCAATGCCGCCAGGGCCAAGATAACCACTGGGAGGGGAGAACATGCACTTAACTGACAAGACTTCAGAAGGGAAAGGGGTAAATACTGGCTGTGTACGCAGCCCAACAAAGAGCCTCAAACATGCACAAGCCTGGGAACCCTTCCAGCGCCATGCTTTCTCACCAATGCTCTCTTGACGGCCCCACACGTTAAGGCTCAGAGACCCAATGTCTCTTCAAACTGACCCTGAACAAAACCTCATGGAGACACTCCTCTGGACACTCCCCAAACTCCTCTCCCAATACAAAGCATGCCTCAAAGGAGAAGAAAAGGGCGGAAGAGGATTCCTCTGACTTGGGAAATTTGAAAGTACTCATATAGCTCCAGAAGCTGTGACTTCTACGAAATGGCATGCAAAAAGGGATGATTTACACAGGTCCACTTACGTAGGGCATCCAGGAACAGGTAAGAAGAATGTCAACACCAACCAAATGCTTTCCAGCATCAAAATGAAGAGCCACTGGGGCCAGCTGGATATGACATCTTGAAGGGAAGAGCACCTTCTCTCCTGAGTGAGGGGCATAAGGAAACATGCAAACTAAATGCAAGTAGAATGGGAAATGATACGTAGTATGTATATTTAGGAAATTCCCTGTGAGTCTTCTCTTGGGCTTTATGGTACTAATATAAAAAGAGATGCATGTTTATTTCATCTGCATTATGTGGTCTAGGTGTTCCCTCTCTATGAAATATCACAGTAAAACAGAAGTTGTAAAGAAATCAGTGGACAATTCTGTTCCTTTACCCAAGAGATTTGAAAACAGATGTTCACAAAAAAACTTGTATATGGAATCATCACAATGCGTAATAGCCAAAAAGTGGAAACAAGTCAAATGTCCATCAGCTTATGAGTGGATACATAACGTGGCACATTCACAAAGTGGAATGCTATCCACCAAGGAATCAAGTACTAGTACATGGCACAACATGGATAAATCTTGAAAAATACTATCCTAAATGAAAGAAGCCAGACACAAAAAGCCACATATGATGATTCCATTTATATGAAATGTCCAAAACAGGCAAATCTATAGAGACAGAAAGTAGATTAGGAGATGCCTAGGGCTGGGGGACTTGGAGGTAAAAAGGAGTGGTTAGTAGAGAGTATGGGATTTCTTTTGGGGTAATGAAAATGTTCTAGAATTAGATAGTGGTGATGATTGCACAACTCTGAATATACTAAATATCACTGAATTGTACACATCAAACATGTGAGTTTTATGGTATGTGAACTATATCTCAATAAAGCTGTTCTAAAAAAAGAAGTTAAAAATAAATTTAAGAGGAAAATGAAATTTAAACATTTGGAGCTATTCTGGTTAAAAGAAGAAGGGCATAACCTACCTTTTCTTGGTGGCCCACCCAACCCACTGGCCCTGGACGAACCTCCGCAGACCCCCAGGTCCCACAAGCAGCTAAAACCAAGCCCACCTTCACCCGCACATGTCTAGTCTCACTTCACCTTAAGGAAATGTACCGTAGAGGGTACGGATATGCTGATGGGGAGGGCAGAGGAGGTACAAGGGTAATGATTAAACGCACTCCAAGAACCCATAACCGAGCAATCATTACAGGAAGACACAAGAAAATTTGAGATTTGATGATGAATTTGCTAGTTACATGTACAGAAAGAAGCTAGAAAATACAGTTCTATTAATTTATTTTAAGTAGGACCCCAAATGGGAAGAGTCTAAACATTACCACCTGAATTTTTACCTCCATTGGGGGAAAAAAAAAAAAGCTGTTACCTGGGTAAATTCAGCAATTTATGGTAAGATAGGAAGTAATCACAAGAGGTGACTCTCGCACATACATCTCACAAAGAAGAAATAGCCAAGGATATACTGTCATTTTCCCATACCCTAGCTTGACACTTTTTTTCCAAGTTAAACCTTTGCAGCCTTTGTATAGATATTAATATGTTATATGGGTTTTTAAAAATATATCTTATGCCACAAGGAATTTGAAAAATTAGTAGTCATGCTTCAAGAGACTGAACCAAAAACTAAAAGATGGTGATATTATTTAATGCCATCAATATGCATTTGATTACTGGACACTTAAAGATTTGTTAAGAGGGTACAACTCACGTTACATGTTTTTTGCCACAATAAAAAAATGACTGGGGTGGCCGAGTGGCGCACTGGTTAAGAGCTGACTTGGGACACCAGCTCTGAGCAGCAGGGCCCGGGTTTGGATCCCACATGGGGGCCAGTGACACTATCCTCTACAGCTAATATGGTGAACAACAGCCTGACCTGGAGTTGGGCTGCCGTGAGTCGCTGGTGACAGCGTAGGCTGCATTGAAGCTGCAGTGGGCTGCCATAAGCTACTGTGGCTGGCAGCCAGCGTGAGTGGCTGGTAGCCGGCGTGAGTGGCTGGTAGCTGGTGTAAGCTGCCAAGAGCTGCCGTGAGCAGCCGTCCAGAGGCCGGTGACGATCTGCCTCACCCGGGAAGAGCACAATGATAATACCAACATGGGCCAGTGAAGCGACGTCCTCCACAACTAGACTGAAGAACAAAACAGCAACTTGTCTGTTCCCCTTCCCTGGATTCCCTAGTGCTGTTCCCCTCTCCCAATTCCCCAATAAAATCTTTAAAAAAAAAAAAGACTGATATAAAGGCTAAATAAGAATAATTAATTGAAGGAAAAAATAATACATTCAACTAAGAGTTAAGGAGTCTACTGAAGCACAATACTACACTCAGAACTAAAGGGAGTCTGAAAACTATATACTGATATTTCCCCATACCGTTTTTTAAATAAGGTTTCTCACCGAGGCACAACTGTCAGGCACGGGTTTTGCAAAGATGAGCTCCAACACAGCAACCACAAAATATGTCACCCCCAGCCGCTGGAGCACTCCAGGGATTCGTACTTTATCCCAAGACACTGCAGAAGGTACAAGTTAGGTAAAGGTTAGCCAGCGCTTCTCATTTCATCCCAAGACAGAATTACTTTTTTTCTAAAGGGGAAGACACACCTATATTGTACATATGCTACATATGGTCAGGAGACATGACTCAAATTCACAGCAGGAAGCTGGTCAGCTGGGAGACTGGGATGAAAACAAAAGTGTCTTGCTCAAGTGTGGGGATGAAGCAAGGACTACCCTGGACCCTGAAGTTCATCTCCTGGCCCTTTCCCATTAGGATTACAGATTCAACTCTCACATCCATGAGGAACTTGCAGATCTAGCACAGGCCACCAACTGACTCTACAGGCTACATGACTATCACTAGAAGAGTGTAACCCTATAATGAACCCTATAATGTATTCTCCTGGGTGCAGTGGCTCACTTTTAGAGACAGATCGAATCAACTTTTATGTGACACCTTCCCTTGTGACCCCCACTGGAAGTGACCTCTACCTACTCCTAATGCCTAAAGTCTTACTGCTTCTTACCTTAAGGGTTCATTTGGCTGTTGCCTAGATAATTATGTCCTCTTTCGCTAATGACCCTGTAAGCCCCTTGAGAACATCAATCGCTGCTTGTGGTACCAAGCACGGGACTGATAGCCTTCCCTCACACTGCTAAAACAATGAAAAAGATGGCATTCCTTCCTAGTAACCCAGCTGACACACGGGTGGTGACAAAGGTGAATTCTTGAACTACCACACAATAGCCTTATTATGAAAGTTGATGAAACCACCAAGTGGCAGGAGGGCAGGGTCTGAGAACCAGGTGACCTGGTCTGTTCCCTACTCGGCCCCTCACAACACTTAGATAATCTGGAGGAAGCACTTCAGTCTTTCGTGGCCTGTCTTCCTTTGTACAACAGAAGGGTTTGGGTAATCCTGGAGGCTCCTCCCTGGTCTAAAAGTCCAAGATAACAATAAAAATACCCAAAGTTATACAAGCATTATACATACTTTTCTAATACCTGTTCTTTTTTGCAGGTACTTGCGATGGAGGAATTATACTTCTTTTGAACTAAAACATGTAGTTTCCATATTTCAATCTGAATATATACTAACAGAGGGGAAAAAATACTTACATGGACCAAGGCAATAATTGGGGTTCACAATGATAATTCCTATACAGATTAACAGGAAACTCCTCCATGCAATTTTCCCCAGTAATCTGAGTTTTGAACATCCCCGCTGCAGTATGGTGGTCATTGATAGAAAAATCGAAGATCCCATAATAAACACAAACCTAGAAAAAAACCCAGCTATTACTAGATGGCCATTTCTAATACTTTTTGTCTGTATATCATTAATATGTTATAATTTACTATATAGGAGAAGCAACAGATGACTTTTTAAAGTAGTCAAGTACTGAAATGACATTGGGTTAATAGTAAAGGAAAATTCCAAACGTAACCCTGTGGGGCTGTAAGGTCTATGCACCTTCAAGTCCTGTCTTAAGAGGAAACTATTCAGTACTAAGTGCACTTTTCAAGGACAACTGTCCCATTTTGTTATCAGAGAGGAATGATGGTGAAGATGCTACAATCCAAATAACGACATTCACTCGCACGCCCTCTAAGTCCTTGAGAAACAAACCATATATTTTAATCATTTCTAAATTCACTCTTGGTCCTGAAAGAATAATGAAAACTGTATTTTTTCCCCTTTCTTTTACTATATTAAATTACCCCTTTTTAAAAAAAAGTTGGAATTGTAATTTTTCTAATTATTTGGCAAACGGTTAACAGAGATGATGGCTTGTTCTTGCTGCACCCTTGGTGTCTGCTGGTCCTTTCTTAGGGTCACCTAATCAGATTAAAAATCTCTAGGAACAGGAACAGGAGCCATGCCACTTTCCTACAAGGGAACCTCACAGAGACTATACATAAATAAATACGACGTCTGCAGGCTCCCTCCTACCCAAACCCATCAAAAAAGAGCCCTCAGCATCCCCCCGACACACACACACACATAAAACCTGAGTTCATATTAGTAATGAAACACAAGGGACCAAAGACATAAACCAGTAGCCAGGACTACCTCCTAATGATGGAGCAAAGTTGCTTAAAGTGTCACAGAAAAGACACAAATTCCACATTGTACAGGAGGTCAGGGTCCCTGAGATGATCAGGGACAGAGTTCGGTTACTCTACTATTATCCTAAATTTTAATTTAGTATCATTGCCCTGTTACATACTTACCAGAATCCCTGATACCAATATACTGCATTTCTTTTAAGAAATATGACTGTTATACTTATTTTCAGGATTAGTGGAATTTAACTACATATTTAGAATTTACGATTTCCTGCACAATTCCAGGCTCTTGTATATCATATCTACACTAACAAAACGTTCCCTCTGAAATCACTCATCTTTTATACGCACATGTTTTAGATAAGCAGTATGCCAAGTATGAGACCTATTCAATGACAAACTTTCGGAAGGACCTCATAACAGCAGAGACCTGGGAGTGACACAGGCATGAGGCCCAGGATTCACGGCTGGTCTCAGAGAAAGGCTCCAGCATCAGCTAAAAAGGAAAAATTGGAGATGACCTATGGAAGAGCTGATGGTAGGGTGCCAACTCACCATGGGAACACAAGGTCAGCCACTGTCAGTCCTGCAGAAAAACACAGGCACAAAGAGTAAGGACAAGGATTCTAAACAGTAAATAATTCCTAAATTTAAAATGGCCCCATTATATTCTGACATATATGGAAAGTAAGAACATAACGGGGCCAGGAGAACCAAACTACAAGGTTAGACAATTAAGTTCGCAAACTTGTTGCAACGATGTTGCTAACCTTTTTTGATATCAGAGGGATTATACATTATGAATTTGTACCAACTGGATAGACAGTTAACCAAGTTTACTGTTTGGAAGTGCTCAAAAAGCTGCATGAAAAAGTTAGATGACCTGAACTTTTTGCCTACAAATCATGGCTCTTGTATCACAACAATGCACCAGCTCACATGGCACTGTCTGTGAGGGAGTTTTTAGCCAGTAAACAAATAACTGTATTGGAACACCCTCCCTACTCACCTGATCTGGCCCCCAATGACTTCTTTCTTTACCCAAAGATAAAGAAAATATTGAAAGACATTTTGATGACATTCCGGACATCAAGGGCAATACTACCTACGACAGCTCTGATGGCCATTCCAGAAAGAGTTCAAAAATTGCTTTGAAGTGTGAACTAGGCACTGGCATCAGTGCATAGCTTCCCAAGGGGTGTATTTCGAAGGTGACCATAGTGATATTCAGCAATGAGGTATGTAGCACTTTTTCTAGGATGAGTTCACGTACTTAATTGTCAGACCTTGTAGAAGTTTTGTCAACAAGTTTGTATCTTTAAGCAGTGCTATTCAAAATCCATTCTTAAACCAACCTCCCAACCAGGTTCACAGCTATTACTCAGCACCACTCACACCAACGTCAGGTCAATGGCACCCCAAGGAGGACCATGAGTCTTAGAAGGCATGCACATAGCTGTACTGAAAGGCACATCCAGAATATGAAAAGGATTATTTATTTACATCTAAGTTCTTAACATCTTCTGCAGAGTCCCACAGTCCTATAGCAGAGACCTATTGAGGCTACGTGTTATTAATAGCCAAGCATTACAGAGCCACAACACATAAAAGGAAAAACAAAACTGAAACGCTAACAGAATAATCTAAAGGTCATTCTATGGAGGCAGGAGCTCGGCGACTCAGAGGAGGCTGCTGGGGCCTCATCTCTGGGGCTCCTGGGGATGCTGAGTGATTCTCCTGCCTGCGGTTCTCTGAGGGGTCCTACGTAATTGATGCTACCTTCAGCAAATATCTTACCATTCCAACTTGCATGTTTGAAGTACCAATATTTTCCTCCTCCATAATTAACGAAGACCATGAGGATGAGAGCTATCCTGCAAAGCAAGAAATAGCATGCTTTTAGGGCTTGTGCAAGTGACCAGGAATGGCCGAGTTGCCAGATACACTCACACTAAAAAGGGGCAGTCATGACATGAGATGACACTTAAAGAGCAAGAAACTATTACTTCTTGTCACTATAATTAGGGACGCTACACTCAAGTCCTTCTGTTGCCAACATTTCCAATATGATGACGTCTTAAAAAAAATTTACACTGACACTAAACTGTATAACTTGAAAACAAAGCACAACATTTCCAATTGCTCAATTTTGTGCTAATTTTCACATGTCTCAAGTTAAAGAACTGCAGTAGAAGGCATGCAGTCACGAGACTGAAAGCTGAGGGTTCCAATCTTAGTTCCTTCTTTCTTATTAGTCATAAGACCTTGAGCAAGGCTCCCATCAGTTACATCACTGTGCGTCTCTGTAAAAGAGGGAACATGCCTCACAAAGGGGCTGCCTGGACTATTAAGGAGAATAATTTATATTCCAGCACCTAACCAATGCATTGCACATTTTAGATACTTAAAAACCATTAGTCCCTGTCTGTCTGTGAACATCTCATCTCCAAAAGTGGCAATGAGAACCGGAAAGAAAGAGAAATACAATAAAATCGATTTTGAATATGCTATTGTTTGATACTAATTCTGCAGAATGAGGGAAATGAAGACTTTAGTATGTTAATAGAGTAATTTATGAGGACCCTGGAGCTCAATTGCCTAGAATCAAATCCTGACTGTTTCACTCAGTCCGAGTCACCTTGGGTAAGTTACTTAACTCTGTGGCTTAATTTCTTCATCTGTAAAACAGGCATATTAAAAGTATATACCTCATAAAATTGTTAAGGGTAAATAAATTAAGACAAGTTAGAACAGTGCCTAGCACATAGAACTCAAAAATTATTAGCAATTGTTGTATTATCATTGTTGTTATTATTACCTGGCTTGAAACATACACACTAGGGGAACTCAGAGCTCTGAGGAGGCTGAGATAAAATTATAAGGTTATCGCCTGAGTTTAAAAGACCCCAGTGGGTAGAAATCAAAGACCTGATACCTAGGTATTTATTTTCAGCTGTATAGTTTTATACTTTATTATCAGAGTTTGGTCCTGCCCACCATTCTTCTAGAACTATAAAACTATAACAATTTACTACATGGCACTGTGGATTTTCTGTAAATGGTGAAGGGTGGGGACTGGCTCTTTTGTGTGATGGAGTTTCACATCTAGACTGGCGCATCTTCTCATTTGCCAAACTACTGACCGGGGGTGCGGATAGACACGGGGGCCCCACGTACAGCTACTACCCAATGTAAATGACCTTAATCCAACAGAATCTACATTATCAGTGGAAACTGGTTCTGGCCTTGTTCCACTACTCCTTTCTAGCAACACACTACACTGGCTATCATGACAGTTCTCAAGTAAGCAGAGGCTGCTGATTTATTTTTACTGCAAATCTTTTCTAGCCTTCAAAGTAAAAGACATATAAAATACGTTAAGTTACAAGTGGGTTTACGTGCAAACATGCAATCCCAGACTGCGGGCGCCCACTGTGTTACAAGGGAGCCCCACGTACCCCCTGAACGTGTCCATGCTGTGCAGGCGCAAGCGCACAGCGGACGGACGCCAGGCTTCCGATTGGGTGTCGCCGCTGAGCTGGTCCGCCCTGCTCGGGGAGCCCAGCTCCTGCAGAGGAGGAGAGAAAAAGGTATGACACTTCATAATGCTAAGGAGTAAATTTCACTTTTCTATATTTTAAGGAAGAAATTAACAGAGTGGAAAGCTAAAGGTTGTTGTTCTGAACAACATTTTAATTTGTTTTTGTAAAGATCCCATCTAGAGGTTTGTTTGTGCACTTTATCTTTTCTTGTGTGCCTTCTGCTGAGCTTGCAGTAACCATGTTGATAAATGACCACAGAGAACTGGCCCATACGTGCGCATCTGGTACAAGTGTACAGGCAAATATGTCCATAATGAATTTTATTAACACAAATAATATGTTTAATCATCTCAGCAGGCCGTCGCACTTATAGGTTCAATATTGATTTCTCTTTTGTTTTAATACTGACACTCTCAACTTGACTGGATGGACTCAACAGTGCTGCCTGCAGAGAAAAATGTCGCCACATCGTGCATCACAGTACAGCCCGGTGTTCCAGCCGCAATGAAGAACACAAGGGGACAGTGCCCTTCACAGGAGCTGAGAGAAGGCTGCGCTCTATTAAGAGTACACATGACCTGGCCACATGATCTGGCTTTCCGTAATAGAAATAAGATTTAATTATACCAGATAATAAATATTATTAAATAGGAAATTATAAATTCCAAATCTAGAAAACCACCCAGACCATATAAGATGCATTCTAATAACTCACAGAATTAATGAGGCGATCAGTTTCCCGAGAATTTATTGCTTTAGAAATCCAATTATTAAAGTCGTCCAAACTGTAAATAAATAAATGGCTCAGTTAATTTATTTTCTTTGGCAGAATCTTCAAAATGATTGGATCTCATATTGAAAGAAAATTTAAGTCTATAATCCATACATATCCAAGAATTAAAAGTTTTAAACTTTTTTAATGAAACAAAAGTAGAAATCAAAGTTTATAGCAGCAATATTTTTAAATGCTCGACCCTTACAACATAGTTTCCTCATCAGTAAAATAGGAATAAAGATAGAGCCTTCATTCAAGAGTTGTTGTGAGGGTTTAAGGAGATTACTATTCCCTGTAGCTAGAATTCTTATTAATACTATTAAAATTAGAATAGAAAAAACTGCAAACAACCAAATGCACTCAGTAAAAAAATGACTAAAGACAGTATATGACAGCTGTGACAGGATGAGATACAGCTATTTAAAATAACAAGAATGTGGGCTCTATGCATACAAAGAAATACAAATATAAACTATTAAGAAGCAAAAACCCAAAATGCAGACTTGATTACAACTAAATAAAAATGCATGTATACATACTGAAAAAGTTTGAAAGTAACTTTGGAGTAATTCAAGTAGTTAATATGTTGGGTTCTTTTTTCTAGAAGGTTACTTTAGTTCAAAAAGATATCCAGATGATCTTAACCCGATTTATATGATTAATAAAAGATAAATATATTAACTGGTTTTTCTTTAAAATGAGATTTCTACTTGGAAAGCAATCTTTGAAAAAGTATATCTTAGCCTGGCGAAAACAACCCCACCCACATATTATATAAACTTTGCACATTTGAATTATCTAATGCATAGCATTTTTTCCCTTATTATTATTATTTTTTATCATGGGAAGTTTCAAGCAGATGCAGAAACAGACAAACCAGTATCGTGAATCTCCATGGACCCATCACCCAGATTCAACAGATACACATGGTCAGCCTCGCTCCATCTATACTCCCACCTACTGCCCCCTTTCCCTGCCATCTTTAGATGGATTATTCTAAAGAATCCCAGACATCATATCATTTCATCCATAAATACTTCAGTATGTATCTCTAAAAGCTAAGAACTCATTTTATTATTATTTTTAGGATTCCTTTTATTTTTAAACATAACTATAGTATTACCATTACATTTTAAAATATTATCAATAATTCCATAATATTATCAAATAGCCTGTCTCATAAGTTTTTCTTACAGTTTAATTGTTCAAATCAGTATCTAAACATGATCCATATATTCAGTGCCTATATTTTTAATTTCTTCTCTTTTCCCCCAACTCAACTCCTATTTCTAGCTTATTCAGCACTGATAATATCACTATCACATGAAAAACATTAAAAGAGACATCTAAAGTGAAAAGGAGAAAGTAAAAATGTTTTAAAATTAAAATTTTTAAAAAGCACTTAATTTTCTTGTATATGGCTTATTCTCCAAGTAAGTTCTATTCTTTCTACTTTTTCAGGTTCTTTTTTGGTTCAGACAAACCTGAACTTGCCGAGAGTTTCATGGGCATGCTGGAAAGTGATGGGGCAAGGACAAGGGGCTCTGGCTTTGTCAACAGTAGCATTCTGCCCGCAGGCTGCAGAATCACACCCAAAGAACAGTTTCAATTCCACGGTAGGGTAAGTGGCATTTTTTCCCTTTGCAAGAGCTTGATACCAGCTATCAATTACTTAAAAAGTGATGCAATCGATCTATTTGTATTAGAGGCACCAAATGAAAGCATCCTAATAAACTGGTACAGCATTTGCATCTTATCCAAAGACTAACAAGAAAATACCTTAATTCAAAGACATGAAACTCCTCTGCTAGGATTATATTCTGTCCCCAAAGAGCAGTTAGGTTAAACTCTGCTTCTGTGCATTCCTGTAGTTCTTCTACACCTATACGCAGTCAGGATTCGCCTACATGGAATTATTTCTAAGATGCGCAAAGGTGGAGGGTCAGAGTGCATAAACTCCCCAAAGTGGCAGGGTTTCCCCAAGCTAGCATTTAAAAGCTAGGTTCTCTTTCTTCCAATTTGGATACAGCTCACCAGTAAAATCTTGTGGTCCTTCCTGAGACCCTAAAAGGCTGAGCCTGTGAAAAGTCAATCTTATTCCTTTTGAAACATGAAAGAACTTTCCTTTGAAAGGCGATTTGCCAGGCCTGGATTTATTTTACTTTCTTTTTCTTTTCCAGCGTACTACTTTGCTCTCACCAGAATCACTGGTACCCAGGCAGAGGAGAATTCCCTCCCCAAGCTGCTAACCCTAATCAAGGGAAGGAGTTCCATGCTGAGGTCTGCAGGCACCGCACCTCACCCTCCATGTCTGCTGCCAGAGGCCCAGGCCGGCAGGAGCTGGGAAGCTTGCCTAGAGGGGTGGCCTCAGGGCTCAGAGCTGGAGAGAAGGAAGAAAAGTCCAGCGTGACAGCCGCCTCCTAAAATCATTACAGCTCACTTCCACTCGCTATGAAGCAGGATATGAGATTCTTTTAGGAAATAATTATTTCTCAAGCATTTTCTTCTACTTTTTCAGCCATTTGGGAGATTGGAAGGCAAAGATCCATTACAACTAGGTTATTTCCCTGAAGTCAGGGGTCATCTCTAATTCTACACTGAATCCCTAATGCCTAGGACTGGATTGGGCATGTTGGATACAATAAGTATTCATTTACTCAAAGAATAATGGCCATTTAAAGGGGCAAACTATCCTTTCTCAATAAATTTATTCTATATTCTACTTTCCCCAATCGTGTCCTTCCGGAGTAACATCTGCTTACCTCAACAAGAACCTTAGAAAGCACACTGCAATGATCATCACTAGACCAACAAGGAATGCGATACTCACAGCTATAAAAATAACAGAAAACACAGTATCACCAGAAACGTCATCATAAACATTAAAGGTGTCACGTCATTACATTTCATTTTTAAATGAAAAATGCAAACAAAAATGGAAACAAATGAGGAAAAAGCCTACATTCGTACATTAAATTTCCTATAAACAACTGAGAATACTCTTCATGAGGGGCGTGCTAATTTTCATCATGAAAAATATCAAACACACACAAAAATACAGAGAAGTGTATAATTAACCCACATATACACAGCACCTAAATTCTAGAATTACCAAGATATTATCACTCTTGCTTTATTACCACTCTCCTGGTTTTTGTTTGTTTGTTTTTCTTTTTGCCTAAAATGTTTTTAAGCAAATCCCACACAGCATGTCATTCTATCCCTACATCTTCAGTATGTATCTCTAAAGCAAGGGTCTTGTCAAAGATATATCAGCATCATGCAACTCCTAACATGACAAGGGCACAACATCACTTCTGTAATGATCTACCACAAATGCATCACTTCTACCTAGTTATGAGAAAACAGAGAGTAACAATAACAAAGTAAGTAGCTGGTCCTCTTCAAAAGTGTCAAGGTCATGAAAGACAAAGAAAGGCTGAGGAACAGTCCTAGATTAGAGGAAGATAAGGAGCCTGAGAATTAAATGCACTGTGGGATCCTGGATTGGATCCTGGACCAGAAAAAAAAAAAAATTAAAACGGACAAACTGGAGAAATTTGAAACGTCTGTAGATCAGTAACTAACACTGTATCAGTGTTAAGTTTCCGGGCTCAATAACTGTATATGGGATAATTATACTATGATTATGTCATTTAGGGGTTTAGGAACAGGTGGGTAAAAGGTACATGGGAACTCTTTTGCAATGCTTCTATAAGTCTAAAGCTATTCCAAAATTAAAAGTTTCTTAGAAATGGACTTTTTGTTATATAACCACAATGTCATACAAAATTAACAATAATTCCCTGGCTAACGCTGAGTCCATATTCAAATTTTTCTAGTCCCAAAAATGTTTTTTGTAGTGTGTTCAAATCAGGATCCAAACAAGGTTCACATCTTGCATTTGCTTAAATCATGTCTCTTAAGTCTCGTTTAGTCATAAGCAGCCATTGACTTGTTTTAAACACCAGGTCAGCTGTTGTCTATTAGTACGTCTCCTGTTCTAGATCTGTCAGTGTGCTTCCTCATGGTGTCACTGAACTTGTTCGTCTTTGCTTCAAATGTTCTGTCAATGCGAGATTAGCTGCAAAGGTTTGACTGAAAATGTTCAGCATTCTCGGGAAGAACGCTCCCGTGGTGCTGTGTCTTTCCCACTGCGCATCAAGGGCTCCTCCTGCAACTGCCCACGTGCCTGATGTGTGTGTTCCGCTGGGGAAAGCCTGACCCCACCAGTGTAAAGTTCCCCGTTCATCTGATGGTTTCATCCACTCATGATTTTTGCCTATAGCAATTAGTTCAATAGGGACTGCAAAATATTCTGCCATTTATTAGCTGGAATTCTTCTCTAAAGAAATTTACCCACATCATCTAGGACTCTTTGGTTATCCTAAAATACAGTCAAAACAGGAAAAGCAGGATAAATGCTAAGACATTTCAAATTTTCTGAAAATTTTAAATCACACTAGTTAGCATCAGCTGTCCCTGATACCTCCAAAGGCAACCAAAGTATGGTTTTTGTTGGGGGAGAGGAGGGGCGGGGATTGTGCTCTTTTTATTTTCATAATGAACTCAGTGGTTTTTATTTATTCAATGTGTTTCCATCCACTACATTCATTATTCTTTTTAATACTTAAATTGTCCCATGTTGACCCTTTCATATTGGCTCTTATGTTCTTTTGACATGACCCCACAGTCTTCAATAGTGTCACTATGAACAATACTAATGTCCCAGGGACTTACTACATTATCTAATGGGGGGTTCAGAGTGACAGATTTTATTCAGTGGAGTAATTAGGGAATGAACAGTCCCTTCTTAACCTAAGGAGGCCTCTGGACTGTCAATGTAAGACACATACAGGAAATCCTATATCCTAAACCCCAAAACAAGGACAGATACTTCACAATTGCTCTATTTCTAGTTTCTTTCTATTGCATTAGCTTTGTCTTATTATGCTTCATAATTAAACAACTATGAGAATATGTTGATATATCATATAATTTTTTACATGTCACATAATTTTTTGGTATTTTAAATACTGATGACAATAAATACATTATAAATATACCATAACTATGAGATAAGACAACCTACAATCCAGATTTTAAATTACACAAATTGTCGCAAACAGTACTCAAAAACTAAAACCTTTGAAAAAGCAAATTTAAAAAATCAACAAAACGCATATACGTACGAAGGTTACTGTCAACTGGGTTCTTATTGACAACTAGGTCACAACCAATTTCACTGACTCCATTATGGACGTGCTTTACCAAGAGAGAATAGTTTCCGAATTCGCCAAATTTGTATTCCAGCCTATAAAGATTAGGTAAAATTAAGAAAGTTGATTAGATGAAGGGGGAAAGGAGTTGGATTTTGATTATGTCATGAAGGCAGAGTGACAGGTATTCCTGAGTGCAGACCAGGAAAGATCAGAAAAATATTTTGAAGGGAAAAAAAGTTAAAACCAAATAGGAAAACAATATACAGAACACAGACGTCAGTAGGTCACAGCAAAGCAGGCACAAACCTACAAACTTCCTTCTCTTCCAAGGTGTCGTTAAGTTGCAGGATGGATCCATGCTGGGTGCTCACAGCAGCAGCTGCAATGCTAGGCTTCCCATGTTCTGCACTCCCAGAGACATTTACCAGAGCCTGAAGCAAACACTACAACATAAAAACAAGCGAACTGTCAGAGGTAGTTGTTGGAGGCTATCAACATCCAACTGAAGATCCTGAGATGACTTTTCTTTCATACTTATGCAAAAACTTTTGAATTTCAGTCTTTTAGATAAAATTTTCCTGTATAACTGTGTGTTGCTATGCAACTGTACAACCTGCATTCATAGGTAAATTTTTCACATAATTAACAAATACAGCATACATTAAATCTTGCATTCTATTGTTTTGATTAATATTTAACAAATTCCCATGATGCTACCCAATATACATAGTTATCATTTTTAATGGCTGCATTATATTCCATCAAATATTATAATGGTGAGCTTTTAGGCTGCCTTTTTTTTTTTTTAAGCTGCAAAAAAGGACAGTTTATTAGCAGAAAAAATACATTTGAAAGAAGCAGAAGTGGGCCTCGCAGAAGAGAATGCCTCAAGGGCCAGCGGGTGGAGCAGAAGAAGCTCAAAAGGCCTAAGGGGGCCAAGGACAAGGGCCAGGGAGTCATTATTAGGAGAAAAAGTACACTCCAAAGAGTTTGGAGCGGGCCGAGCAAAGGAAGCTCAAAAGGCTTTTAGGCTGCTTTCAAAGCTTTTTTATCTTTTTATATGTAATTTATATAAATTATATTGTTTTTTAAAATAAACATATAATTTAATTCTATAATAGAAATATATTTATATTTATAATTTATAGTGTATGTAATTTATATGTTATATTATTTTAAAAGATCTACACATGATGCTCTTATTCATTTAAATTCTTTCCCTAAGATAAATTTCTAAAAAATGAAATTACTGGATAAAAAATAATCACTTTAATGGTTCTTGTTACGTGTGCCAAACAATACTCAAATAAGAAAAATTACAACAATGTATTTATTTCTCGTTAGCCTTCCCAGGATTTAAAAATCTTTTTTTTTTTTTTTTGGGTACATGTACTAGATATTTGTGACATCACAGCATTAAGATTACATTTTTAAATTATCAGATTAAATAATTCAATATTCTTTTGCTATTTTGTCTCCTATGGTGTGACCATCTTTTAAGAAACCAAATGCCCTTGAACATAAGTATAAAAATATGTTGTTCTCATATACTGTAACATTAAACTTTTAACTATCAAATATTTCCCCATTCTAGTGCTTTCCTTTTCATCTTGTTATATTGTTGTTTTTTATTACAAGTTTTTAAAGTTTTATACAGTCATACTAATCTGGCTTGTTATTTCTTCTATTACTTCATTAGTTTAAAAATGTACTCCGTCTTTTTTAGTACTTTGTAATTTGGAGTACTTGATAGATGGTATACAATAATTCTAAATACCTTTCCCCATGGTTTTAACTGCAATATGTGAAATTCTTATGTGAATTAGCTTCTGCTTCTTACACTTATTTTGGGCCTGGTGTTCATTTCTCTCTTTTGGCTACATAAACAATTGTGGTTTGTAAGAAATCTTATCTGGTACAGCAGGTCTCCATATTGCCCCTTCTCTTTCTGTCCTTTGATTCTCTTGCTCATTTACTATTTCATACAAATTTTGGAATTATTTATGCATATTCTATAAAGTATTAATATATTAGCACTTGTATTAAATGTATGAATTAATTTGGGAAGTACTGTAATTTTTCCTACATTTGGTATTCTTATCAGAGTGTGTTGGCTATCACTCAATTTAACCTATATTTTCCCATTAAAATTTCACCATTTTCTTTAAATATGAGCTTTAAAGTTTCCTCAAGAATAAAAATGTCAACATAAATGAATCTTTCAATATGCTTATTCTATTTGATAGAATTTCATTAAAGATTTTTGAACTCATATTATAAATTAGAAAGATTGGCCTGCATTTCTTTTCATATCTTTTCCAGATTTTAAGATGAACGTCCTATCTATACTACAGAATAAATCAGCTATCAAGCCATCATTTTATTTTGGGGGGGACATTAGTTATATTTAGTGTCAATGTATATAGATTGAGAATTACTTATTATTTGAAACTATAGAAAATTTTATTTTTTTTTTTAGCTGAGCCATCCTGCCACCTGTTGGCAGCTCAGCAGCAGCTCAGCTCGAGCCGGTCATTGAACCGCTGTTGCTCAGAGCTCAAACTCTTGAGCGAGCTCTTAACCAACTGAGCCACTCGGCCGGCCCTACCTATTTTTAGGTTGAGAAATTCATTATAACTTTCATGATTTTTTAATCAGTTGCTGATCTATTTTTGTTCTCAATTTATTGAATTAATCTTTACATTATATTTTTTGAAGCAAATCAATTTTTTTTAATGGGTAAGGGATATATATATATATTTAGATTTTATTGGGGAGTTGGGGGAGAGGAACAGCATTGGGGACTCAGGAAAGTGAAACAGACAAGTTGCTGTCCTTTTGTTCTTCAGTCTAGTTGTGGAGGACATCGCTTAACTGGCCCATGTTGGTATTAGCATTGCACTCTTCCGGGTTGAGGCAGGTGCTTGCCAGCCATTGGACAGCCGCTCACGGCGGCTCACGAAAGCTCATGCCAGCTGCTGGCCAGCTCCACTGCAGTCTACGCCATCGCCGGAGACTCACACAGCAGCCCAGCTCCAGGTAGAACTGTTGTTCACCACCTTAGCTGTAGAGGGCGCAGCATCACTGGCCCTCATGTGGGATCCGAACCCAGGCCCTGCTGCTCAGAGCTGGCATCCCAAGCCAACTCCTAACCAACGTGCCACTCGGTCAGCCCCTTTCTTTTTTTTCTTTTCTTAAAATTTTACTGGGGAACAGTGTGTTTTTCCAGCACTCATCAGCTCCAAGTCAAGTCATTGTTTCAATCTAGTTGTGGAGGGCACAGCCCACCATCCCATGCAGGAATCGAACCAGCAACCTTGTTAAGAGCACCCGCTTTAACCAACTGAGTCACCTGGCTGTCCCGAAGGAAATCAATTTTTGAATTTCAAATTTATCAGCTTATAACTGTTCATTGGACTATAAATATTTTATTTTATTTTATTCTTTTTTTTTTTTAAAGATTTTTATTGGGGAATTGGGGTATGGGAACAGCGCTGGGGTCTTGGGGGAAGGAGAACAGACAAATTTCTGTCCTTTTGTTCTTCAGTCTAGTTGTGGAGGACGTTGCTTCACTGGCCCAAGTTGGCACCATCACTGCGCTCTTCCTGGGCAAGGCAGATCAGTCACCAGCTTCTGGACGGCCGCTCACGGCAGCTTGAAGGCCACTCACGCTGGCTGCTGGCTACACACAGTAGCCCATGGCAACCCACTGCAGCAGGGGCTGCAGACTACGCCGTCGCTGCGACTCATGGCAGCCCAGCTCCAGGTTGAGCTGTTGTTCAGCATCTTAGCTGTAGAGGGCAGTGTCACTGGCCTTCATATGTGGGATCCGAACCGGGGCCCTCTGGCGTCCCAAGCCAGCTCTTAACCAACGCCCCACTCGGCTGGCCCTAGACTATAAATATTTTAATCACAGTGGTTATGTATATATCCTAATTTCTAATTTTATTAATTTCCATTGTTCTCTTAAATTTATCAATAATTTACCAATTGTGTGATTTATTTTTAAAAAGTCACCTCTTGACTTGTTCCTATTTGAAATATTTTTCTCATTTTCAAATTAGCATACTTATTATTTTTATTGCTTCCTTCTTTTTCTTATTGTTTGGAAAATGACGTGTTTGCTTCCAAAACCTTGAGATACCTATTCAGTAGCTTTGTATTTCCCCTTTTTTTTCTGATTAACATAAAGCAGGATCCTGAGAATGGAGGGAAGTGAGTCCCAGCACTGCTCCATAACAACTGGGTAACCCACGAAAAAGTCACTTTACTTCTCTTAATCTCAGCTCAGTATCACTACTAGCAGGATTCAGATATATCTCTACTAGATTGTTATGAGGATTAAAATGAGATATAACATATCTAAGTCATGGAGCAGGCCCTCAGTAAATAGCAGCTCCTATTTCTATTATCATCATTATCATTAGAAACATTTAAATACATTTTTGTAAGAATTGCTTTGCCAGATCATAGATTTTTCTATTAACTATTTATGTTTTTTCCTGTACAATATTTATATTTTCCTTAAACAAAATTATTTCTATGCTCTTTTAAATTAGCAATTTTTTCTTGACTTAAGTCTTATGTAGTTAATTGTCCTGTTTTTTGATTCTTCAATCTATCACCAGCATCACTGTTTTGTATCAATGATCCTACTTTTTTTATTCTAAAGATGCTCTTACTGGGCTGGCCGAGTGGAGCGTTGGTTAGGAGTTGGCTTGGGATGCCAGCTCTGAGCAGCAGGGCCCGGGTTCGGATCCCACATGAGGGCCAGTGATGCTGCGCCCTCTACAGCTGAGATGGTGAACAACAGCTCCACCTGGAGCTGGGCTGCCATGAGTCGCCGGCGATGGTGTGGGCTGCAGTGGGGCTGGCCGGCAGCTGGAGTGAGCTTTTGTGGGCCGCCATGAGCAGCCGTCCAATGGCCAGCAAGCAACTGCCTCACCCGGGAAGAGCGCAATGCTAATAATACCAACATGGGCCAGTGAAGCAATATCCTCCACAACTAGACTGAAGAACAAAAGGACAGCAACTTGTCTGTTTCACTTCCCCGATTCCCCAATGCTGTCCCCCCCCCAAATCCCCAATTAAAAAAAAAAATCTTAAAAAAAAAATAAAAAGATGCTGTTACTTACCCTATGGCTAATACCTGACAATGCAGACTTTTCCCTCCTCAACTTGTCTTCCAAATATTTTAGACCTTTATTAAGTCTTTTTAGAAGATATTTTGCTCATTCCTGAATTATTTATGATTCTTATGGCTTTTAAATTTAGCTATTGTTGATTTTTTCAGGAAGGTTCTTTTAGGTCCTTCTTGTAGGTTAAATCTTTTCTTTATCTTGAGCTGCCTTTTTTAGTATTACAGATTTTCTTTGTTTCACATTACTTTACAAAGCTTTCAATGGGTTTAACCAAATAGCGGAAGTCTCATGTGTTGCTGCATCATCTTCTCAGCTCATAATAAGGGTACACTCTACATCAAATTCCTCTTCTGAAGGTAGTACATCGAAGCTCTCAATTTTATTTGGAAATAAAGAATATTTTATTCTACATGAAAGAATAACCTTGCCCTCAAAAAGCAACAAGGCCTAGAATAAGGGTAAAACCTTCAGATGAAATAAATTTTATCATCAGAGAGGCAGATTCCTGGAATTACTGCCATTGCCTCCACATAAGTCTCCCCACTATCCTCATCACTCTTCCCCTTGAAAAATATCCTGGTGTCTTACTCCCTTCTGGCCCAGCAAGTGGGTTATGCATGAGGCACAGAAGTAAAATAAAACACGGCCTATTAATTTTGCTTATCATCGAGAACTGGATTTTTAAAAACATGGGTAGTGGAAAAGATAAGAAACCAATGTTGCTCATTGCTAGGCATTCTCCCTGATTATACTTCTTCTGATTATATAGCCTGATTGTTTCCTTACCTATAAAACTGAAGTTAACATGTAGAGGGCTTCAGGTATGAGAGCATGAAGGATCATATCAAACTAGCCCCAAAGTAAACAAAATTGTGAGCGTGAACACTATACCTACATGATAACAGCGTTCAGAATTCCAGTAGACAGTCAAGTTCGTCCCAAGTAGTTCATTATGGATGAGCAGCAAAGCCTGGTCCATCTTCAGCTCTATATGCCTTTTTTTATCTAAGTCTGGTAAGAATTAGAAAAAAAGGTTAAAACATAAACAAAAACAAAAAAACAAGGCACCTGAAAGACAGATGTGTTAGAGACAAAGTATACCTGTGTGAACAGTGGCTTCGCAGGAGTGCTTCTCAAATGGCTGCACTCTGGGTTCTTTGGGGTCTCTAACTTCTAACTTTGTGTACACATGAACACACACACACACACACACACACACACATTTGCACTGGTACCTACACTACAAATGAGGAGTCAGTCAACACCATTCACATCCAGTGGATAAAAGGACCTTGTAGGGACCTTACGTTCATCAAGTGCTAAGATGTGACGGGCACTGAATTTAGTAGTTTCCACATATCTTCTACTTGAAAATCTGACAATCTCATGAGCGCAGTATATTCTCCATTTTACAGGTGATGAAATTAAGGCTCACAAGGATTAGCTAACTGCCCATGGCCACAGAGATTTCCTGTGAAATCACTGTTTTGAACCCAGTTTGTGTGACTTCAAAGTCCAAACTTTCCTTTACTGAGTTACTCAGCTCTGATTGCGGCATGGGCTGCATGCGACCTGCAGAACCCCAAACCTATTGGATTATGACACACAGGGCAGCTGGGTCCCTGGGGGATTTGCACTCTCTTTAAAGTCTGAGTTCTGCTTTATATCACTTTGGTTTGGAGTTCTGAGTCTCCTGGCTTACATGGTAGACTGGGGGCAGGTAAGGAGAGAGGATAAGTCAGTCTGAAGGGCAAAAGGACCCAATATTCTGTATTTCCTTGGCTTAGAGCTCCCCACTTTATTAGATGCTCTTAGGAGCCCATGAAGACATGCACATTCTAAGTTTGCCAAATTTGGAGGAAAACAAAGTGAACTATGATTGGCTAAATTTAAGGAAAAATGCTTCATTGAGACCAAGTAGGCTATTCATATCTATTATATGAAAGAAAAATTAACTTACCCTCTAGCTTCTAGGCAAAGGGGGGAAAAAAGGGAAACTATTTAATAAACACAACAAGGAAGGTAATAATCTAGCCTCTTTTATTTTGTAATATGAAAGCTTGCTTCAGGGCTAAATCAAAACAAACAAATATTAAAGTCCTGGCCCCACCCTATACCTATTAAATCAGAATCTGTGCCCAACCATCATGATTTTAAAAATTTCCTCCTTAAAACAACAAAAACTCTTAAGTAATTGCAATATGCAGCCAAGGTTGAAGACAATAGCTAGAAAGGCTGTGTGTGCAAAGCCAAGGGATTTTGACACCTTTGTACTTTTTTGCAGTGTTTGAACATATTTTTTTAAACCAATGAGTCTGTATCTTTCTCTCTGTCTCTGTCTCTCTCTCTCACACACACTCACAGAGAGAGAGAGAGAGAGAGAGAGAGAGAGAGAGAGAGAGAGAGAGAGAGAGAGAGAGAGAGAGAGGCAGAGACAGTAGCAATTCTGAAGCCATATAACATGACATTGAAATTGAACCTGATGCTTTTTCAAGAATAAGCTGCCAACTTCCGACACAGATGACTTTAGAAATACCAGAGTGTCACCCAAGGAGAACTATCTACAAAAGAACACCACCCGCCTCCTCTTGCTGTCTACAATGTCTTGGTGAGGAAATAAACCAAATTAAGTCACTTTTCAATAGTCCAGGGGTAATTGTGCTGTTTGTATATTAGACTTTTATTTCATTTCCAAATCTTTAATTTCTGGTTCTAGCTCTGTGCTCAGGAGTGTCCTTGTTGGGCCTATTTTAAAAGCCATATTCTACTTAATTTTTTTTCTTTGGATGTAAACTTGAGTCCTCAAATCATATGGAGATCTTAACGGGAAGTTGTCCAGCCCAAACCTGGTGGCACTAAAAGTCTGGCTGTCCTCTCAGCACAGCGTGGTGAAGGTTCTGAGGTGGATCACTTAGGAATGCTATGCTCTCACTACAGAGAATTACTATTTACAAACTACCTTTTTTCCTAAAATAATTATCATTATGAATTGGTGCTAAAATACAAACCAAGAGTATTGTATGGGATCTGTCCCTGACAAGTTGTGACGGCAGATTATGTAACCTTTTGGGCTCTGTTTCATCAAAAAGGAGTGGATGAGCTTGAGCTCCGGGGTGGGAGAGGCAGCATACAAAACATAATCAGCTAAAATGCTTTTTCAAAATTCATTCTGTCGTCGCCCTACAAGATTGTGACTGGGAGGACGGGCAGTTTGAACTACACACTGATACCAAAACCCTCGCGTTCTGATACAGAAGAGGGGATGAGAGGAGGAGTAAGAGAGGTAGGTCACTCACACCTCTCCAGGTGACAGTCCGATCTTCCGAAAACGCTGGGTTTGCTGACGGGAACAGGGTTTGCTGCACTTGGCTGATCCCATAACCTCTGACCAAAGCATCCCTGGGGAGGAGTTTGGGCCGAGGACCCTTTAGGGCCGTGGGATCCTCGTTCATGGGGTCTAAAGGAAGGCCCGGGAATGTGTATTTTTCACCATTTCCCCTAGTGAGTTCGGAGACCAGGCAAGTCAGGCAAACACTGGATGAGCTGAGCGCCTCCTCCCCGCCGCACAGGAGAATCGCCCATCTTCCCCGGCAAACATTCCCCCGCCTGGCCCCTCCAGGCCGCGAACCTCGCTTTGTGGCTTCTCAGCAAGCAGTGGGGAGCCCGCGGACCACGACCTCAACCGTTCCTCCCGTCACCTAGGAAGTAAAAGCCGCCTAAGGGAGGCTGGGGGGAGGCTCGCGCGAGCTCGGATTTCAAGTTTTAACCACCAGCTCCTGCAATTACCGCCCTCCCGGCACCGCTTCCTGCCGAGTTTAAGTCCACGTCGGCAATTCACTCGGGAGTGGAATCCCAGCGCCGAGCGAGGCCCCTACGGGGTCCTGCTCGGTGCCCCGGCTGACGCAGTCGGGCGCCCCGCAACTCCAGCCACCGGGCAGGGCGGCGCCGTCCAGATTTCCCTCCCCGCAGGGTGCCACCCTCCAAGTCCTCTGGAAGGGACTTCATCTGTGTCCCGCCATACAGTGGACTAGGTGAGGGATGCGTGGCGGATACACCCCTCCTGGCCAGTCCACCTCTTATCTAGCTTTGCATCTGGGGGAAACAGGTCTCCCGATCAAAGACACTTGACTACTTAGACGCAGGGTGCCCCGCGGCCTCGGGGCGGGGATGGGGGCGGGCGGAGCGCTCGGCGACTCTCGGAGACGCCGGTGCCCCGACGCCCGCCCCGCCTCGCCTCGCCTTCCGCGTTTTCCCCTTTGGGTGGGTGCCGTTTGGATACTGGGGCCCCGTACTGCGTGATGCAGTCCCACGCGGTGCCTGCGACAGCGGCCAAACGTGCTGCCACACAGGATCCCTGGCCCGGAGGTGCTCACAACGGCGCAGTGGAAACCAAAACTACTTTCGGAGAATTGCTTTTCCGAGCTCTCGCCCGCCCAGCGTCCCGAGCCGGGAGGGGGCGCCGTATCACCCCGAGGGAGGAGGCGTAGCACGCCCCGCGGGCCCCGCAGCCGGAGGCGGCGCGGGGACTGCCGAGCCGCCCCGGCCGGAGCCGCGGCGCGCACTCACCTCGAGGCGGCTCGGCCTCGGCGCCGCGCTCCGGGGAGCCGCCGGAGGCCAGCAGTGCGGCGCTCAGCACGGACGCGGCCAGCAGCAGCGCAGCCATCGCCAGGCCCGCGCCCCGCGCTCCGCTCATGCCGCCTGCCGCCTCCACCAGCCGCCGCTCCCGCCCCGGCGCCGCATTCGCGGCGGGCCCTCCTCCTCCTCCGCCGCCGCCGCCGCCGCCGCGCTCCCGAGCTCTGCGCTTCTCCGCGGCGCACGGCCGCGCGCCCGTCATCACCTCCCTCTCGAATGCCGTCACCGCCGCCTGAGTCACCCTCGGAGGGTGGGGGAATGCAGGAGCCCAGGGCGGTGCCAGCCCGCGCGGGAGGGTCCGAGGGGCCGGGCCACTCTCGGCCCTACGCTCGGGACGCTTCCTAAGTGAAGAGCCAGGGTTCTCCTTTTCTGCCACAGTGCTTTTTGTCCTCGGGGAGAAAAACATCCAGAAGGCCTCTGACCACTCCCCTGAAAGACATTCTGCTAAATTCCTGCGTCCAGCCATTCATTCACCATACAAATGGGTGTTAGTGTCTCCTGTCCACTGTTTTGGAAATGCCATGGTTAAGTACGACAGGCAGAGTCCCAGTACCAAGGCGTTTACTATCCAGCGGGAGAGATGAGACTCAAAAGCCATCACGTGGTACCACTACTTTAAGTAGCTTTTTGCCAGTCTCTGATAAAAGTTCAAGGCGCGAAGACCCTGCAGTTGTACTCCTGGCTATAATGTCCGGAGAAACTATCATACATTAAAGAGGATGTGTACAAAAATGCTTGTAGCAGAGTGGTTTGAAATTGCAAAAACCTGTAAACAACCTAACTGTTCATTAGTGGAATAAATAAATTGTGGTACAATATATACAGCAGTAGAAATGATCTAGAGTTGTATGTATTGACAAGGATGAATCTCAAAAATAAGGCAGAGGGGGAAAATGCAAGTTGCAGAAATACCTATTAACATGTAAAGTGTATAAAGCTAAGCAAAATAATACTATGTGTTGTTTAGGGATATATGCATATGTAATAAAAGTGTAAAGGCACATGGAGAGATAAACACTCAACTTACAGCTAACATGACACTTAAAAAGACCAAATGTTTTCTCCCTAGGATCAGGAACAAGGCAAGGATATCTGCCCTCACCACTTCTACTCAGCATTGTCTGGAGGTCCTCATCAGTGCAACAAGGCAATAAAAAGCATACAAATTGGCTTTATTCAAACATGGCATGAATGTATGTGTGGAAAATCTTAAGGAATCTCTCCTCCCACCCACCCCCAAAATTACTAAAACTTATAAGTGAATTTAGAACTTACAAGTGAACGTCACAGAATTCAAAGTCAATATACAAAATTCAATTATAATTTCATATCCCAGATATAAACAAAATTGGAACTTGACTTTTAAAAAATAGCATTTACGATAGAATTTAAAAAATAAATACATAGGGCCGGCGGAGTGGCGTGTTGGTTAAGAGCTGGCTTGGGACGCCAGAGGGCCCTGGTTTGGATCCCACATATGAGGGCCAGTGACACTGCCCTCTACAGCTAAGATGCTGAACAACAGCTCAACCTGGAGCTGGGCTGCCGTGAGTCACCGGTGATGGTGTAGGCTGCAGCCCCTGCTGCAGTGGGTTGCCATGGGCTATTGTGTGTAGCCAGCAGCCCCAGTGAGTGGCAGTCCAGAAGCTGGTGACCGATCTGCCTCAGCCGGGAAGAGTGCAATGATGGTGCCAACTTGGGCCAGTGAAACGATGTCCTCCACAACTAGACTGAAGAACAAAAGGACAGCAACTTGTCTGTTCCCCTTCCCCTGATTCTCCAGCACTGTTCCCCTCCCCCAATTCCCCAATAAAAAATCTTTTTAAAAAAAATACATAAATTTAACAAAATAGGTATAAGACCTGAACACTGAAAACTAAAAAACACTAATGAAAGGAATTAAAGACCTAAATAGTTGAAGAGATCCACCATATTCATAGATTCAAAGAGTCTTTACTATTAAGATGCCAGATCTCCCCAAATTGATCTATAGATTCAGTGCAATCTAAATCAAAATTCCAAAAGGTTACATGTGTGTGGGTGTGTGTGTAGAAGTTGACAAATGATTCTAAAATTTATAAGGAAATGCAAAATGATTTCTGAAAAAGAAAAACAAAGTTGCAGGTCTTAAACTACCTGATTTCAAGATTTACTATAAAGCTGTAGTAATCAAGATAGTGATGAGGATAGCAACATAGATCAATAGAATCAAGTACAGAGCCTAAAAGTAAACCCACACAACAGGTTTTTCACTAAGTTGCCAAAGCAATTTAATGGGGGAAAGGATAATCTTTTCAACAAATGATGCTAGAACAATTGGACATCCACAGGGGGAAAAAAAACGAACCTTTATCCTTACACCTCACACCACACACAAAACTGAACTAGAGATGGATTATAGACCTAAATGTAAAAGCTAACACTATAATGCTTCAGGAAGAAAATACAGGAGAAAATCTTCATGAACTTGGGTTGAGCAAAGATTTCATAAATAGTATATAAACCATTTAAAAACACAAACTTAAATAAAAGACTGTTAAGAAAATGAAAAGGCAAGCCTCTGGCTGTAAAAAGATTTCCAAAGATATACATGGTAACAGACTTAATTTCAGAATATATAATGAACTCTTACAATAATAAGCAAATTATTTAATGATGGGCAAAACATTTGGACTCTACACCAAAGAAGATATGTGAATGGCCAATAAACATGAAAAGGTTCTCAGCATTGTTTATCTCTGGGGAAATGCAAATTAAAACTACAATGAGATGTCACTACACAGGCACTAGAATAGCTAAAATTAAATGGGCTGTGAATAACAAGTGTTGTAAGATGTGTGAAGCAACTGAAACTCTTACACATTGCTAATGGGAATATAAAATGGTATAGATGCTTTGGAAAACAGTTTAGAAGTTTCTTATAAAGTTAAACACTTATAAACATAGAACCACTCATAGGTATTTACTCAAGACAAATGAAAATATATATCTGCAAAAAGACTTGCATTTAAATGTTAACAGCAGTTTTATTCATAATAGCCCCAAACTAGAAACAACCCAATGTCTATCAGCAGATGACTGGATGAACGGGCTGTGTGGTACACACATACCAATAGACTACTACTCACCAGTAAAAAGGTATAAATTACTGATATATACAACAACATGGGTGGATTTCAAAAACGTTACAGTGCATGAAAAAAGACAGGTACAAAAAGTTTTATACCTGTATGGTTCCAATTATATGAACCTCTAGAAAACAATTCTAATCTTTCTTAGTAGTGGGGAAAGGATTGAATGAGATAGGAAACACGAAATTCCAAGAGACATAGAAATTTTTTATGTTAATCCACAGGGGTGATGACATGAGTATATAAATATATCAAAACTCATTGAAATGTACACTTAAAATGGTTGGATTTTACTGTATACTGGGGGTGCCAAAAAAATGTATACAAGTGGACATTGGTCAACGTTGCTCAAGCAGTAGTTCGCTGTAATCAGAAGTGTCTGGATGCTGACGGTCAGAAGTGTCTGGATGCTGACGGTAACCACTTTGAGCACCTCTTGTAATTGCAGAAGTCAGGCGTGACTTGTATTCATCTTTTGTTATTGTTATATGAGGTCGGACAATTAAGTTAGTGAACTCATCCTAGAAAAAGTGCTACATACCTCATTGCTGAATATCACTATGGTTACCTTCAAAGTAATCCCCTTGGGAAGCTATACACTGATGCCAGCGCCTAGTCCACCCTTCAAAGCAATTTTGGAACTCTTTTTCTGGAATGGCCATCAGAGCTGTCATTGTATTACCGTTGATGTCCTGAATGTCATCAAAATGTCTTCCTTTCAATATTTCCTTTATCTTCAGGTAAAGAAAGAAATCATTGGGGCTGAGATCAGGTGAGTAGGGAGGGTGTTCCAATACAGTTATTTGTTTACTGGCTAAAAACTCCCTCACAGACAGTGCTGTGTGAGCTGGTGTACTGTAGTGATGCAAGAGCCATGAATTGTTGGCAAAAAGTTCAGGTCATCTAACTTTTTCACGCAGCCTTTTCAGTACTTCCAAATAGTAAACTTGGTTAACTGTTTGTCCAGTTGGTACAAATTCATAGTGAATAATCCCTCTTGATATCAAAAAAAGGTTAGCAACATCATTGTAACAGATTCGTGAACTTAATTGTCAGACCTTGTATATTGAGTACTAGAATTTTAATACAGTTTTCCTTTCTTAAAATGTGTATACATTTTTTGGCACCCTCTGTATAAATCAGGTTTTTACATTGGGAAATCAGATGGATGGTGTGCCATTTACAGATGTAAGAGGCTGAAACAGCAAATTCGGAGCAGAAGAATTATTTAGGAAATGTTGAGTTTGAGGTGTTCTTTGTGTGGACATGTTTTCAATTCTCTTGGGTAAATACTTGGGAGTGGAATTGCTGGGCCACGGTAACTCTATTTTTAACTTTTTGAGGAACTGCTAGGCTATTTTCCAAAGCAGCTGCATCATTTTACATTCCCATCAGCAATGTATGAGGGTTCCAATTCTCCACATCCTTGTCAATACTTATTATTGTCTGTCCTTTTGATTACAGCCATCCTAGGGGGCTGTCGTGTTTTTATAACAAAAGCAACAGTTAAAATACTGTGGGCAAGCATATGCTCTGACCAACCATAGTACACGGTCAACCACAGGAGGCAGGTAGACTAGGGGATAATAATGATAATACAGGTCTAGCCTACTGCCTGTGGTGCCCTCCCTGACAGTTGGGGGCAGTGGTTCTCAAAATGTAGTCCCCAGACCAGCAGCACCAGCAGCACCTGGGAACCAGTTGGAAAATGCAAAGTCTCAGACTCTACCCCAGACCCTACTGAGTCACAGACTCTGGAGTGAGGCCCAGGTCCCTGTGATTCCCATGATTCTGCCCCATGTCAGCTTTAACCACCTTATTAGGGATGATTAATATGCACCAAATCCATCATCCCCTGCAAATGAGGATGATAGTGACCAAGGGCTTTTTGAAGGATTCAATCGTGCAATTTGAGTGGAAGGGTTTGACATTTTCCAGTAATGAATGACAGTGTAGATGTAAAATGTTCAAAAGAATTAATTTTGGATATTGAAAACTCAGCTGGAAGGTAAATAGGAATTTCGCAAGTACCATCCAAGCTAGTAACACATATCATTTCCTTTATGCTTGCTGCTTTAAATATTCCTTATCCAGTCAAAATTTCAAAGAGCATGCTTTAATAATTCTCCTTTAGCTCACGGGAGGAAGGCTGGCAAAGGAGCTTCACAGAACAATCATCTAAAACAGTAAAGATGGCCTTGCCCATACCATGTGAAACAGGCCAGAAATACTCCCATGACCACATAGATTGATTACCATCTAAAAAATTGAGGAAAAAACAGTTCTTTGGAGAACTACTCTATGATTCTTTCATATAATGCCATTTAAAAATCTACATTTCTTACAAGCTTACAACTCAGTTATTAGGGTAGGGGGAGCCTTTTCGTAGCTATATTTTTGTTACTTCCTCCAGATACTGGTTGGACTCACTGCTTCTCTGCATCTTCACCTGGGAGCCACCAGTGTTAGAAAGTGAAGCCAGACTTGAATCAAGTCTGGTTTGCTCTTGCTTAGCAGCTTCCACCCAGGTTGTTGAAGAGGCAGAACGGTCACGTGTGTACATGGATGTAGAGGAAGAGCCACGTGGCTGAACAGCACAAGCTCACCGTCAGAGCAGAACCGCTGCAGCTAGTCCACGTGTGCCTTAAATCCCATCCTTCACTGGCTGGGCTCGTTTTTTATAGCATTTCTCTTGTCTGAGACATCGTGGTGTCTCTGAGTGAATTCAAAACCTTCTGGTAAGTGTCCAGAATATCCTGAGCAGTGGGTCTCTCTGCAGGCGTCTGGCTCTTACATGCCTTATGAATATCAAACAAATGGAATCGGACCATATCACTTCCTTCGACATGCCCCAAAAGAAAACTGGCGACGTCTGGGATCTTCCAGATGTCGACCTTCTCATCATACGAGGGCATGAGGTCATCGTGAAAAGGCATGTCCTCTCCATAGGGCCACAGCTGCTCTGGAGCCACGAAATCCCCGTGAAGCTCCCTGTGGCCACACTTCACAAACGTCCCAGAGCTGCGGTTCACCAGGGGCAAGGCGTCCAGGTCGTTCACCACAATGCTGAAGTTACTTGTCAGCAGGTACTGGGACAGTGTCTTGGGCAGGTCGCTGGAGTCGCACATGACCAGCGTGCCCAGGGGGCTGTGGTGCAGGTAGTTGATGATGCCGACGTAATCCATGGCCAGCTGCAGCCTGTGCTGCCACGTGTTCACATTTCGGTACTTGGAAAGGTTTAGGGTTTCTTCCAGGCTGCTCAAGGAGCCTAAGGGGTGATACTCAGTGAGAATAGTATTGTCATCCTCACAGTAGCCGAGCAGTGTGACAACATGTTTACTCTGCAGAGACTTCAGCATCTGCAGTCCGTGGAGGAAATCATCTTTCATCTCCAGACTGGTGAGCTGGGAGAGAGCGACTTTGCGTTCCTTCCACTCCGACAGAAAGACCTGAAACAAAGCCACAGAAAACATCAAACCCAGAACCTTCACTTATGTTAGAGAGCTAGGAAGCAACTCCACAAATATATTTTAAGTGTCAGATGAGGTGCAGAGGATACAGAAATTAGTGAGACCCAGCCCCAGCCCTAGAGTCGCTCTTGGCCTAGTTACAAAGACTCACTTAGGAGCAAACACAGGACACTCCGCGCCCAGAGCAGGAGGCAGGAGGGACTAACTCTGGTCAGGGTGCAGAGGGCCATCTGCAAAGGGTGCTGGAAGGCTCCTGGGAGCTGGTCTACAGGATGATGGGGGCTTGTAGGTGGGTGTAAAGCATGGTGAGAAACATTCCCAGGAGAGAGGACTGCATGTACAAAGGCACTGAGTGGCAAACAGACTGCCAGTTCCCAAATTCTGCAGCACAAAGTGGGAGAGGGAGGGAGAGGAGACAGGACTGGAAAATCCTACGCAGGGAGTCAAGCCTAGCTAGCCCATCACATGTAACAAGATTACTCATGCATTTTAAAAGGTAACATAGTAAACCACAAATAGGAATAGTTCTTATGTAAGGAAAACATTTTGACATGGTCTGTGGGTTTGTATGACTTCAGCTATAAAAGCAGAAGCTGAAATGCCACATAACCACACCACCCATTGGGTACACAGCTACCAGAAGAGCAATTGTACAGCACTGCCTTGGATTCTGCAGTGTTATTAGCTAGGAAAAGCTTGCAGGAAGCATGTAACTAAGAACCTCTCTTCTGCTTAAATCCCCAAAGGAAAGGCAGAAGATTACAGAAACCAGGATCGGAGGTCAGATTGCTGCCCCAGGCTGCTTCTGCCCACAACAGGCTGTGTCTCTCTGGGCTTCTACTTCTTTGTTAAAATAAAGGTTATATATAGTCAGGGAATGTAAAGTACAGCATAGGGAATACAGTCGATGGTACTGTAAGAGCTATGAATGCTGTCAGAGGGGGAGTAGACTTCAGGGGGTAGTTATCACTTTGTGAGGGGTGTCAATGTCTAATCATTATGTTTTGAACACCTGAAACTAATACAATAAAAAAATAAATAAAAAATAAAGTTATGGTTTTCAAAAGCAATTCAGGGCGTTATTTATCAAGAGTTTTTAACACATAAAATCTATCGAAGACAATACTCTGAAATAGATTAAAAAACTCCAGGAAAGAAAGTCTGGCATTATTTATAAAAGCATAAACTGGAACCTAATCATCCATCAAAGAATGGGGAATAATTCAGTTATGGTAGGATCACTCAAAAGAATATTATGTGTTCAGCAAAATGTATAGATTGATAGAGTTTTCACAGATAAAAGTGCTGCAAATGAAAGAGGATACAAAATTGTTTTTATACTATTGTAATTGTATAAAACAAGATAAAATTACATAGAAATCAAAGGATTTCTGTTTTCTTCTCTTTTTATGGTAAGATTCTGGGTGATTATTTTTCTTTATATCTTTTAGTATTTTCCAACTTTCCAGAATGAATATATCTTACTTTTATATTTTAAAACATTTTTAAAAAGAACTCATATATATCAAATGGAGGTGGGCTAGGAGACTTTGAAGATTTCTTTTGGATCTGAGAAGGGTGGTTTATTAATGGAAAAACCCAGGTAACTACAGTTGACCCTTAATATTCAAAAGAGAAAATTTTCAAGGCCCTCTCAAAAACCCACACTTGAGAAATTTCATTATGTATCACAATTTCTATTAAAAAGCCATTTTGCTGAGATAACATGGATGAACCTAGAGCGTATCATGCTAAGTAAAATAAGTCAGACTGAGAAAGATAAATAACATAAGATCTCACTTATATGTGGAATCTAAAGAACAAAATAAACAAACGAAACAGAATCAGACTCATAGATACAGAGAACAACTGATGGTTGCCAGATAGGAGGAGGTTGGAAGTTGGGTAGAAGAGGTGAAGGGAATAAGAAATACAAATTGGTAGTTACAAAATAGTCACAGGGATGTAAAGTACAGCATAGGGAATATAGTCAATAATGTTTTAACAACTATGTATAGTGCCAGGTGGGTACTAGGCTAATGGGGGATCACTGCATTAATTATATAAATGTCTAACCACTATGTTCGACATCTAAAACTAATATAAAATCATATTGAATGTCAACTGTAACTGAAAAAAATAAATTAAAAAAAAATTTTTAAGCCATTTTGCTCTGGCTGCTACATTCACTAAAAGTTTCATGAATATATTTTTATTTTTATATGGAACACATTTTCTCCTTAGATTTGCATCATCATTGAATTTGATATTTGACTCTAACACAAAAATCTTACTTTTTGTTGAGAGCCATTACTTCCTTAGGCTTACCTCCACATGGTCATCACCAGCACTAGCAGATGCTTTGCTTTTCTGGGGCCATTTTTCACATACAAACAGTGACCACTTTAGGGAAGCTGCTACAGCTTATTTCTACATTTATTCAATAATAGGTGGAGGCAGAGGCTCCACCACAGGCCTCATGACTCCCTCCTGAATCCTTGTTTATGTAGAATTCATTTTTGTGCCTTGGAAAAATTATTAAATATTTTTTATTATTAAATATTATTAGTTTTGGGGATCACTCACAAATAGATGAAACATCCAAATGTTAAATATTTACAAGTCAGGGATTGTTTAAGAATCATTTCTCAGCAATCTCCAATTTAGTTGCTTTTTAACATTTTCTTAAAACTCTTATTTGGAGAGAACAGGCTTATTGATTTTTTCTTTCTTTTTTTAATTATAAAATAATCATGAATACTTTTCTTGGTAAAAATTCAAATACAGAAGTAGACTTCTTTGCCCCTGCATTTACTTACCCACCCAAAGGAAACTTGTTAGCTGTTCAGTTGGTAACTTCCAAGAAGTTTTTCTATGCTTTTATATATATTAATATACACTTATAAAATAGCATTTGAATTTGCTGTTATATAAAATGGAATTATAACATACATATCATACACACACACACACACACACACACACACACACACACACACACATCTAGGTCATTCTTTTTAAAGCTGTACAATATTTCACAGTATGGGCATACTACCTATGCTAGTGTATTTCCAGTAATCTTTTACAGATGATTTCTTTTTTAAAACTAAAGTATAATAAAGTAAAAATTCATAAAATTTGTAACAAGTGCTGTCAGAATGGATTGGTTTCTCTTTTGCATCTAGTTCTATAATTTTGCATAGCTCTTTAACATGATCTTATGTGACCTATTTTTAAAAACTTGATGAGCATTTAAATTATTTCCCATTTTTTCTTATTAACAATGCTACAATAAATAGCCTTATATTTCCATTTCTGTAAATAACTGCAAGTATCTTCATAAGCAGGTAAGTAGGTGGATTACTGAATGAAGAATAGTACTGCCCTCCAAAGTCTGTGCTAACATGCCCTTTCACCAACTGTGCATGACAGAATCTTATTTTCCATAGTCTTAATCATACTAGATGTTATCAATCTTTGTAATCTGTGCCAATCTGATGGATGAAAAACATTTTAATGTTCCAATTTTCATTTCCCTGATTACTAATGAAACTGAGCACTTTTCATCTTTATTGGCATATCTGATGTTTTCTGTGGAAAGATGTTCATTGTCCTTTATTTTCTATAGGGTTATTTGCTTTGTGTTTAATAACTTCTAGGAGGTCTTTATATATTATCCATGTGAACCTTTATTATAGTAAAGGATAAACTTTAGGAAATCATCAGCTTAGTTTATATGTTATTTTACACAAAGAATTCAACTGTTCTGTAGTCAAATCTGTCTTTATTCATTTAACAAGTACTGTTGACCTTGAACAACACAGGGATGAGGGGTGCCCACCACCTGTGCAGTGGAAAATTTGCATATAACTTAGATGGGCCCTCTACATACATGGGTTCCCAACTGCCAGTTGACCTTAGAACAACTCAAGTTTGAACTGTAGTCAACTGAACAGTGTGGGTTAATTGAAAAATCCATGTATAAGTGGACCAATGCAGTTTAAACCCACCTTGTTCAAGGGCCAATTGTATTTATGTCAAAAATTATAATAGCAAAAAACTGAAATAAATCCCTGCCGCTATGTAATTTACATTCTAGTGCAGAAGGCAGACAGTAAAGAAAATAAACAGGAAGTGTACAAAGTATACTGGAAAGTAAAATGTGCTCTGGAGAAAAATTAAGCAAGAGAGGTTTTACAATTTTACATAATGTCGGGGAAACTCTCACTGAGGTGACAGCTGAGCCAGAACCTGAAGTGGGTATAAGAATAAGCCACGCAATATCTGGAGGAACCACATCCCAGGCAGAAGGAACCACTAGGGCAAAGGCTCAGGGAGGGATCTGTGCCCACAGGCTGCCAATCAGCAAGGCCAGGGCATGGCAGCTGGGGTGGAATGAGCAAGGGGGATGGCACAGAGGCTGGTGAAGGGGCGCAGGCCTCGTAAGGCCTTTCAGGTGTTGACATGGCTCTGGCTTTTACCAGAGAGAGACAAAGAGCAACTGGAGGATTTGAGCAGAGGAGAGGCACTATCTGGCTTATAATTTGATAGCAGCATTCCAGCTGCTGCATTGAGAATAGACTGAAGGGGTTGGAGTGGGGCAAGTGTGGAAGCAGAGACCACTTTAGAGGCTACTGAAATAATCTAGGAACAAGATGATGGTGGCTTGGTGGGGAAGAGGGGAATACGGGTAGAAGTCTAAGGAGTGGTCAAATTCCTGATCTCTTCTGAGTGTAGAGACACTACAATTTGCTAATAGATTGAAGGTGGGTGTGAGAGAAAGACAGAAATCAAGGATGCCTCCCAGGCTGGAGGCCTGAGCAACTGGACTGATGGAGTTGTCATTAATGGTGATGGGAAGAATAAAGGAAATGCAGGCTGAGGGGACCGATCTGGGACATACTCAGTTTGAGAAGCCTTTCAGGTATCCAAGTGGGGATGCGGATAGATAGGCAGTTGGACAGAAAAGTCTAGAGAGT